AACCATTTTTTTAAAGGAAAATGCTACAAAGACAACATATCAAATGTTGAAACTGAGAAATTGTATTGTTTTTCAAAAATACATGCCCATTTAGAATCTTTTGCCAACAACACGTTCCAAAAAAGTTGGGACGGGGGCCTGTTTACCACTGTGTTTCATCACCTCTTCTTTTAACAACACTCTGTAAGCATTTGGGAACTGAGGAGACACTGCTGTAGTTTTGAAAATGAAATATTTTCACATTCTTGTTTGATACAGGGTTTCAGCTGTTCAACAGTTCAAGTATTTTTCATTTGATAATGTGCCAAATGTTTTCAGTTGTGACAGGTCTGGACTGCACACAGGTCAGTTTAGCACTCAGACTCTCTTAATATGGAGCAATGCTGTTGGAATACATGCAGAATGTGGTTTGGCATTTTCTTTCCTGAAATAAGCAAGGCCTTCTCTGAAAAAGACGTTGTCTGGATGGCAGCATATTGTCAGAACCTGTATGTATCATTCAGCATTAATGGTGCCTTCACAGATGTGTACATCACCCATGCCATGTGCACTAATGCCCCCCTATACCATCATGAATACTGGCTTTTGAACTGTGCACTGATAACAAGCTCAGTGGTCTTTAGCCTGGAGGACACAGTGTCCATGATTTCCAAAACAATTTCAAATGTTGATTCATCAGACCACAGGACACTTTTCCACTTCACCTGAGTCGATTTCAAATGAGCTCAGCCCAGAGAAGGTGGCAGCATTTCTGGATCTTGTTTATGTACAGTTTTTGGCCTTGTCCCTTGCATACAGAGACTTCTCCAGATTCTCTTTTATTGATATTATGTACTGTAGATGATGAAATCCACATGTTCTTTGCTATTTTACGTTGCAAAACTATTTGATCATGCAGTCTTTCACAAAGTGGTGAACTCCTCCTCATCTTTACTTCTGAAAGACTCCGCCTCTCTGAGATGCTTTTATACCCAATCATGTTACTGACCTGTTGCCAATTAACTTTCAGGTGTTTTTTTTAGCATTGCACAACTTTACCAGCCTTTGTTGCCCCCCGTCCCAACTTTTTTGGAACATGTTGTTGGCATCAAACTTAAAATGGGCATATATTTTTCAAAAAAACAATACAATTTCTCAGTTTCAACATTTGATATGTTGTCTTTGTACTATTTTCTATGAAATATAGGGTTTAAATGATTTGCACATCATTGCATTTTGTTTTTATTTACATTTTGCACAGCATCCCAACTTTTCTGAAAATGTGGTTGTAAATGTGGACATGATAGGTTGTGCTTTCTGTTGTTACATTCTACTAAATATATAAATGCAAATGTAGAGTGCAACTGACAGATTTTCACTTTGATCTCACTGCTGTGTCAACTGCTCCCCATGGACACATTCATGTATACACATACTTGCACGCAAGATTTGTGGACGTCCCCTGCTCTCTCCTGCCACCACGGGTCAGTGGTACACAGAAGCATGGCCTGGAATTCTCACTACCTGCTAAAAAATCACTTCCTTAAATCCCTAGCCAAACAGGAAGAGGTTCTCCTTGCTGTTAAAGAAACACGTTCATGCTGTCAGGGGTGTTGGAGGTGGTCATATTGATTTGTCATTGGGCACACCACAGTGGAACTATGACTACAGCGAAATACATGTGTTTAGAAGGTGAACTCTGTGGCCTTGAGGCTCAGAAGTAGCCAGCATGAGGCAGTTGGCTGAAGAGCAACGAGGAGTTCATGCAGCATATGACTTGTAGAAGCATCATGATGAAACAATAGTTCTTTCCTAGCCAAAGCTGAGGGGCATGTGCTAACACTTCTCATTAACCCCCACCCAGAAAGCTGGAGATCACCAGCAGCCATTATTACGCATGATGTACCAGTGGGAATATTGAAGCAGGACCTGAATGATCTATTATTTCTTATTATTTTATAAGACCGGACACATTTGGATGGGTAGCATGCTAGTTTTGGATGAGGCTGGACTTGGATTTTTCCTCCAGTTATGGAATTCACAAGGAAGAAGTGGGATACTGTCAAAAATAAAGGTGCTAAAAAGGTTTCTTTGGCGTGATGCCATATAAGAATCACTTTTAGGTTCCCCAAAGAACCCATCAATGGATTGTTCATTTAAGAACCAATTTTGTAAATGAGTGCGAGTATAAAGAACCTTTTTAAATTTCTATGTACCCCCACATAATAAAAAATCCCAAAATCTGAGTTCATTCTTAACTTATTGGAGTGAGAAATGGAAGTCTGGACCTGCTAGAGGATCCTAGGAGTTTAAGGGATTAAAGGTTTTTCCTAGAACCAAGAACCATTTAGAAACCTTAATTTTTAAGATGAAAAAAGAGGTACACTGGACTCTCGACTGGGCTCTGAATTTTCACTTGTTTGTTTTTCAAATATTGCAATATTTACAAGTATTAAATTCACTGTTTTTCAAGATGTAAAGAAAAGTAGGACACATAACCACAATAAGCAGCATAGTTATAAGTAAATGCAATGTCTCAATGGCTACTCAGCATAAATATATAGAAAACAATAGTTTTCTACCTGGGAATTGTGAGAAAAAGAAAAGGTACATAAGCTTATATTTTTGACTTAACTGTAAGAATGTTATTTCCACAAAATCCCCCCTACATCTGATATCCTAACCTCTATTTGAAGCTAAAACATTTCTAAAAAGTTTCTAAAAGTTTCTAAAAGTTTCCGGTGTGACTGCAGTGCAGCGCTTAGCCAAGCAGTTAGTAGATAATTAGTTAACAGGCAAACTAGCAGCTTACTTATGTATGTATCAACATTATGTGATTACTAGCTTAGTTTATATTTAGAATGCAGGCTTTTGTTATGTTCTTTGGACAGAATCTGAGGTTTGGTAAACAGGTGAGTGTCAGTGTGAGGAGGTACAGGCCTTAGTTTTGGCGTCAGAAGGTACTTAGGAAAAGGTAATGAAAACGTGAGAGGCTACAGTTGGGCTTGAGAACCATCTGGACTGCTCTTGACCCCACCTTTGACACAGCCCTATCATTAGTGGGTACTTCACTGTACTTCAGACACCTCTGTGCTCAGAAATAACAGAGAAACACACTCAGGCAGCAACCCCCACTCACCCAATACACTTCAAACAGGTAGCAGAGAAACAGTCATGACACAATGGACAGACAGGCCTTTGGTTTGAAAGTTCGCTCATTTTGAGTCAGAAAACGACGAGATGCACTTCTTAAAATCTAAAATACAGATCTAATTCAATAACACTATGAGATTTGCAGTTTCATAGCTTTGCTTCAGTGGTGTGGTGGCTGAGCGGGTGGCAGTTTCTAAGTAAAGCAATGTCTTTTCTGTGCTTTTCACAGACAGATCAAATCAAGCCCAAAATACAGAGTGACATCTAGCAGCAGTCCAAGGCCCAGGCCGGGCAAAGCCTATACAGGGGCCGAAGTAGCCACAGCCTGGGTAGAAATTAGCCAACTAGCAAGTGATCTACCTAAGTTAGCTAAAGTGCTGATGAAGTAGGTAGATTAACATTAGGTAAAAGTGTAATTTTTATCAGAGAAAGTATACTGTAGTTTCAGAATTATAGAAAGCAACTTAAAATCACTCTTTCAGTTACCAAGATAATTAGCTTCATGGTTTTATGTGAGCTACTTCAACAACACTGGCTAACATTCGCCCAACCTGGGGCTTCCCCACCCAAGTTGAGCCTAAATTTGCTCAGCCCAGGGATTGGTCTGTGGGGCTGCAGGTAGATACCAGAAATGTACATTTTGTCTAATTTTGATATTTGAGTACCCATAAGAGTTAATAATTGATCCAGTTATCCGAGGGAAAGGAAATTAAGTACTTAAGCTAAAATGAATGTATTGCTTTACTCTTCTAGATGATAAGTGTTAAGAGGCTAAACAAAACTAAACAATAGCAGCAAGCAGAGGAATACGTTTGAAAACGTGTTTTATTATTCAAAAAAGGTGAGGAAAAATTTTGAGTTTTCATGTTGGATGAGTAATAGAAGCTGCCTCTTCAGATGTGCGCTAAAGCTAACTGCTACAACACTGGATGCTAATGAGGACTTGCCGTCTTACATAAGGTCTTTGTGTAACGTGTGCTAACATGTTATTTTGTCAAAATATACTGTTTGTCAAATATATTTCCACTGTTTGTGGACCTCATTGGTGAAAAACAGAATAAGACAGAATGCGTTCCATGCTGGTTTATGCTGGTCAAGTGCTGGTTTAACCAGCACACCAACATCTAAAACACAACATATGCTGGTTTTGCTGGTGGCCAGTGATGCTGGTCTATGCTGTTTTTCTTTTTTTTTTTCTAACAGGGCTTGCTAATGTTAGCTAGAGCAGTTAGCCAAGTAAGCTGCGCTACATCTGTCTTCTCAGTCCTTAATGTCCTCAATGATGCTGTTTTGGGTCAAACAGTGTGATACATACATACATACATACACAAATATGGGCAAAACCATAACATTTTACAGTCTTATTTTAGCATAAAACATAAAATTTACTGAATCTTTATGCTCTATATTTTCTATGTCTTCCTGTGATGGAACAGAACAGATACCTGAATAGTGATTTAAGTATTCAGATATCAGCACCTTAACAGTTAACCCCTTAAAATCACAGGCTTATTACATACTAAGGTTTAATAATCAGTAACTGAAGGGACTTCAATGCAAATCTGAGTTATTCGTATGATATAGCAGTGCGTAATACAACTCTGAGCCCGCTGGTGGGCCCTGGCCATTTCTGGGGTTAACCAAGCACTTGTGTACTCATGCATATCTCTTTAGATACTACTGAAGATACAGACACAGATCTATTTCACATTGTTTGTAGGTGAGTACACAGTAGATCGGTCTCCCCAGAGGTGTGTATAGGCCGTATACCTGCGTATATGAACCATTTGAAACACTGTGCAATGATTAACACCAGCTTTGGTTTGTTTTTTAAATAATTTGGCCATTTTATGTCTTTTCTCACTCACCTCTGTACAGCTTAGCTCCTTCAGTCACAGTGGGCAGGAAGTTGCTGGGGCTCATCTTCCAGCCCTTTTCCTCATCCTTCTGCAAAACACACAAGAATGCTGTCTGTATCATCTGCTCTGCCATGTTCATTCATTACCTCATGTGCAGTTCGTTGAACCCTTGACTTTAGAGGCAGCAAGTAATGGAGAAGGCCTTTGAGAGTGATCAAGAACATTTCAAGGCGAGTTATGGATACTTCTGTTGAAAAGTGGGCCAATATCACGCAAGCAGAGATCAAAGCTAGTCTCCAGGCCAGGGGATGCTCTGTCATGCTGCGATGCAGGACCGTGCCCAGCGCTGCCGGTTTAATGATGTCCATCCACGGTAGGGGAGCAGGGCGCAGTGCTGAGAGTGTGATTTACAACACCTCATGTTTTGCTTCCCCTCAGTCAGGGGCCGCACATTAAAAGCTAATCACTGTCCCCACACACTCGCGTAAATGTTTGCTTTGTGCGGTGCAGGTCTGCGTTTGGGAGGGCCGAGCGTGTTTTCAGAAGGAATAAGGCGACCTGACACACTTTGCTTTATGACTGGTCTCCTTTTAAACACATTTCTCCATTAGCAGTTAATGGGCCCCAAAAGACAGAGAAATCCGTCCAAAAATATGGAAGAATCTTAAGTGGTCTATAATACGTCCCTATGATATATGGCTGCTCTCATGGCATGAGGCAGGACATTTCTTTATGGATCTAGCAGGCTCTAGCAGGCTTTATTCAAGGAGCATGGTGCTACCCTAGAGGGGCAAACAAATTCCTGGCCCAAGCTGAAATGAATTCAGGCAGTTGGTTAAGGCGTAGTAAATACTGGTTAGCCCCAGTCTGGGTGACTCCCTTGTTCTCTCGTCATGCTGTTTTTATTAGACACAGTAGCTCTCACTTCATCACTCCACCGCCAGGGCCCTGCCTCGTTATACGTTATGTATTACCACAGTTCATTTCAATATAAGCGGCGGCTTTTAAGAGCCACTAGAAAAAAAAGTGAAGTTGGTAACTTCAAGAGAGAGCAATTCCGAGAGCTTTGTGAAAAAATTCCCTCTAATGACCTTTCAGAGCCTCTCGACTTTCGCCAGGAAGTGCGAGTTTTGAAGAGGTTCAAATCTGACCTTTCACATCACTCAGTGCAGGTATCAATGACTCAGCTCCGCAATGAGAATTACAGGTGCACTTATTAAACAGAGCGGGAACAAAGGCTCTATTCTACAAGCTCTAGACTGCAGTCAATCACTGTGAGGGGGCATTTGTAATGCTTGACTGCTCTGCAGTAACTACCGGTCTTAATGCAACACGCCAAAGCCAGTGCACCGTGGAATGAATGCTTGTAGACATACTATGTAGGATTTAATGAGCATGTGAAAGTGTTATGATTGAATAGTACGAGATACATTACTGAGCAAAATTCAGAGACCACCTTTCATTTATTTAAGTACAAGTTATTCATTTTTGAGGAGATATTTCTGAGGATTAGAAATAAGATGCATGTAAATACAACGTGGAAATGCGCAGAAATAAGTGAAAAAAAAAAGCCTAAATTGGATTGTTCAAAAAATTACTACAAAATGTGGAGAAAGTAAGACTCCTAACAACCATTCAAGACCTGGTAGACCACCAACACTGTCACCATCTGATAAACAGTTAAAGCTTTCCTTTTAGAGAGACGGGAGAACAGAGCTCCCCTTTCATCTCCAGATCTGAAAAATCCACAGGTGTTTCTGTCCATCCTTCCACTGTGAGAAGAAGACTCAGCACTATGAGTATGAAAGGATGTGTAGCTGTCAAGATGCCCTCGCGAAAAAAAGGAAACAGACAAAACACAAGAAAAAACAGACAAAATAGCTGCTAATGTTCTCACAACAACAGATTCACAATCCCAGAACAGTAGCCACGTTTACATGCAGCCTAATAATCCGTTAATAATCCGACTAATAGCTCAATCGGAATAGAATACGTCCATGTAACCAACTCAATAGGAATAGTCTAGTCAGATTGAGGCCATTCGGGATACAATTTCTATCCGATTGATCGAGGTGGGTAATCCTGTAAATAATCCATTAAATAGACGAATAATATCTGTGTAAACGCCTGTATCTGATTACATTCCCTATCAGAAAGTTTAAGTCCGTTCTGATCATGTTCGTTGCGTCATAGTGAAAGTTTATACCGTTCAACATGGTGGAGCAGAAACTGGTCTGCAGAGGAGACGAAGTTTATGCTCTGGTCTTTAAAAGACGGCGGTGGGACGGACGTCCAGCTTATGTGTCTCAGAACACGACGTCTTCCTCTCGGCCTTCTTTAATAAGGACATGTGAAGGACATTTTCCTGAGTCTGACATCATTTTAAAGCAATTATAAACACAAGCACTGCTCACTGCTGCTCATCTCACTCTGACTGGACTCACGTGATGCTGGTTGTCATGGTAACGTCTACACTAAGTGGTTCTCTACGCATGCGCGTCATTTTGGATCTGATTACTTGTAGTGAGCATGTAAACAGAGATTTTCCATCAGATTATTGAGTAGAGTGAGAATAAACACCTCAGTCTTCATCTATAATCGGAATTTATTCAGTCGGATTGCATGTAAACACAGACACAGCTTGTTTGGAATTACTCGAGAAGCAGAAAATGCAGCTTCTAAGACTGAACGTTGGAGTGTTAGAAGCTGTTCATATATATGCAAATATAGAAATTCAGTTCAACAAAGCTGGAATTCCACTAAGTTTCTGTACAATCAAATGGTTATGATGTAAACAAAGTCAAAGCAAACAAAGTCAAAGCAAAGTCAGAGTGGTTGGGTGTAAAATCCTCAATTCTAGACAAGTTAGAATTCTAGTTAAAATGGTTTACAGTGGTAGTGATAAGAGCCAGATGTCTGAAGGGTTTAATGCCTCTAAAGCAGGGGTGTCAAAATGTTTTTATTTCATTTTTAACTAATGTTGTGCTATAACCTGAACTGGCCCATGTTTATTGAAAATACCCAAAAACCTCAGCAGTAAAATAGAGGCAGTTGTAGGACACTTGAAATATTTAAAATTGAAATGTCCCCAGGAGCTCAGTCTTTTAAACCTACCTATCTCCTTAAACTAGACACCTGGAATCCTTTCTTTGCTGCAAGTTCATTAAGACTTGGGCTGAATTTCCGAGCTGCTGAGCTGACGTTTATACTGGCTAAACTGCAGCTGAGATGCAGCTAGTGCATTTGGTGATGTGACTGGTGTGGAACAGTGTAGAATTGTGTAGAACTGAGATGTAACTGCTGTCCCATACCTTTTTTTTTGGGTAGGAGAGTCAGAGCACACATTACATTGCAGTGCATGCTGGGGACTGTAGTGCAGCGCATTGTGAAACAGGCTAATATTAATAGAAAATGAAAATACTTTTGCAGGCCGGATAGGATTGTGTCACAGGCCTTGTGTTTGACACATGGGCTCTAAAGGCTCTCTTACAGAAGGTTATAACACAAAATGGTTATGAATATGCAGGCTGACGTTAGATTTTGGCCTAAAAAGTACTTTTTACAATTAATTCATAGCAGAGAGGTAAACACAGTCCAGTGTATGGCAAAATAGTCCCCAAAGAAAACTTATTTTTTTCTGATTTACCACTGTTTTACTGTTCACCAGGGTATATTCTGGTTTTTGCATCTGAATTTACATGACCAAATCGTAAGGCAAATTATTCAGTAACTGCATGAAATAAATGCACATTTTTATTTTATTCATTTATTTATTTTTTGTAAAAGTTCCCCTCAAATTAACAGAACATGTGTTTTATAATCACACATATTGCTATATGCTTACAATTTACTGCTGAAAGCCAAAAATCTTAGAAGCTCTTTGTATTATTTTATAAAAATAATTTTTACAGAGCAGATCACCGAAGAGACGCCATCTGTTTATAGTTTATAGCCCAGATTTGTGGAAAAATGGGTCGACTTTCAGTAGAAAAAAATTGTGAGTTGAGCTTCTTTTATTATAAGGGTTTAAAATTACATCACCCATCTATTTGACTGGAAAGAAGACAGTTACAGCTCTCATACGACCCCCACCTTTAGAATGTAGCTTATGAAATATGAAAGTTATGAAGAATATGACGAAGTGCGGATTGGATGGTGGTTCCAAGGAGTTGAAAAGGTTAACATTACATATAAAAAAATCAAACGACACGGGTGGGTTCACTGGCTGTTTTGAAAAGTAAATAAAATGGCTGTATTTGTTATGTAGATATTGTGACCCCTGGTTCCCATCACGACCACTGTAAATAAAACAGTCTGTACGTTTCTCTACAGTGAGCCATTTCACATCAAACCACTCTGAACGACTTTGTTTATATGTCAACCACTGAATCATGCAGAAATTATGAGAAATTAATGAATTCCCCTTTAACCCCTTAAAATCCCAGGCTTATTACATACTAAGGCTTATTATTCAGTAACTACAAGAACTCCAGTGCAAACTGGTTATTCTTAGGCTATAGAAATGTGTAATAAAACTTTGGGCCTGCTGGTGGGCCCTGGACATTTAAGGGGTTACATAGCTTTTAAATAAAGTGTTGTCATTTGCAGTCCATACAGGCCACAGCACAGCTATAAGAAGAGCTATATATGAAATTTTAAAGAATGGAAAACAATCTCAATAACACCCTTCAGATACTGAAATGCAGCTCAAGGTGCTTCACAAACACCTGCAAACAGAACAAGCCTAAACATTCAAAAACTAAAGTCAACAGAAAAAATTCCAAATCTCTGAAGCATAGAAACTAAAACTTTTTCATGCTTTAGGTGAGGAATTTCCTGCAAGCAGCATTTGATGATCCAGTATGGGATCTAGTCTTTAAGACACTCTGTAAGGTAGGAGACCCATTTATGGCTAAGAGAAGCACTTTATAATCCATTCCAGGGGCTGATGGGACCAAGAAACTATCTCAAAGTGCAAATTCCATGACCATGAATAAGGGGAATTTCCTCTGTGGGTAGGTCAGTGGAAAGTGGTAGTGTTTAAATATGACCTTTCCTCTTCAAATGCAGTATGTATGCCAGTTCATAATATCTAAACATGTAAATTACATTAACAGGACAAGAAACACTTAAACAGGGGAAGCCTTTAACTGCTCTGAGGCTGCTCTTTGTTGCCACAGAAGGTGCAGTATTTACAGAAAGGAAGGAGTTATGAATGGTAAGGTTGACAGGTTATCAGGGACAGCAGGACAGTGGAGACACGCCTGGCTGGAATCAGAGATATGCGTGAGTGCAGCCTAATAAAATAACATCCTCAACGTTCCTCATCCGAGCCGAGCCCATGGGCTGCAAGATTAACATTCTTTCCTCCGAGCTCAGTGGGGCGTTAGAAGGTTTTTTTTGTGCAGAACACAAGGTTGTTATCCCAGGTCTGTTTTTACACAGCTGGAAAAGTACTACTGGAAGACAATGGCGATTATCCAACAGCAGTCTAAGAGATGGTGAAGGTTCACGCTGTTGTCACCTTGATTCCAGCGTTTTCTAACCTAATCTCTATCTGCTGCACCCGTAATGCACAGTCAATTACCACAGTATTGATTTCAACATGTTTACCTGTCATCAAGAAAGAAAAGAAAAACATGCTCACTCCAATCATACTTACAATAGAAGTCAAGGGGCAGTTGCTGAATTCTGTCACTAATGCATTCATGTATTTCACATATCATGTCATGTATGTACAAGTTAATTAGTGCTAGGATTACACAGTCTTTAGCAGTCATTTTTCTCAGTAAAAAGCTGTATTGCTCTTTTTATTGTGAAAGTTTGTATATTAAGATATTTTCTGTAGTAAAATTAAAAAATATTATTTATAGTGGAGATATTCTGTGCATATACAGTGCAAACCATGGTTAATCTCCACGTTTTACACTGTAAATTGCATTACTTTTACAGTTGTTATGTAAAAATACAGGAGATTACTGCTACATTGCAGTAATCTTGTCGTCCCACTGATTGTAAAGTCACAGCATACTTTAGCTGTTTTACTGTTATTTACTGTTAATATGGTCCAGTAAATTACAGTGAAAATAATGTGACTGGTATCCAGTAATTTACTGTAATTTTACTGTGATGCTTTTAACAGTGTAAAACACTTCAGAAGAATTCTTCATGTCTGCCTGTTTCCATTTCCGTTGCTTGAGACTTACATTAAACTAATTTCAGTTGAGTTGCATAATATAAAGCCTCCCTAAACTCACTTAAAACTCAGTCACAACAGTTGCAATTGTCTCGATCTGGCAAAACATAAACAAAAACATACAAGATTGATTTCACCGGATCAATGGGCATGAAAACAAAACAGTAGATGGTTACTAGACGGCTGAAAAGGAGATGGATTTTATGGAAAGTTGGTAGTTTCTTGAGCCATGAAAACAAACAAATGTGAGTTTTTTGACACTAATGTTTTTGTAACCAGCTGGCTTAACTAACTAGCTAATGCTAACAGATGTTTATTCTTCTTTGTTTGTTGTTTGTTTGTAACCCAACAGTCCTTTCAGTACTTTATTTCGAAACAGTCACAGTAAACACCATTAAAAAGTTTGTCACTATCCCTGTGTTTACTTTGAACCAGACACAGCCAGTTGTGCTTCATTAAAATTATAAATGTTCAATGCTATTTAAACTCCCCCTAGAAACTAGGCCAGGGGTGGCAACCCAAATGTTAAGAAGAGCCATTTTGTCATTTTAACAAAAATCTAACCACGTTGGGAGCCACAACATTTTATCCATTTTACCATCTTGGCTGTAAATATGTCTCAATATGTGCTGATGTACTAGTATAGGCTAAAAATATAATGTAAACGAAAACGCAGACTTACTTTGCTCTGCTTTAAGCTTTAGCTCAGCTATAGCCGCTTTTCTCGCATCTCCAGCAGGAAACTTTTCTGCAAAAGTAGAACAGTTTCTTGTAAATTGTCTCTCAACGCTTTTTACGAGGCTGAAGTCGCTTCTCATTCGCCAGCTTCTTGTTTGAATTTTCCCGCGCCAGAATGTGCCTGCTGCGCCATTTAAGGTGGAACAGGAGAATTCAAACAAGAAGCTGGCGAATGAGAAACTGACTTCAGCTTTGCGACTTTTTAGTGTTTGTCAGTTTCTCGTTGCAGAATAAACGTGTCAGGAAACCAGCTGGAGTGATTATATGCAAATAAATCCATTCATCCCCAAATTATCGATGTTCAACTTAAATCTTTCTCTTTGCCTTTTCGTTACCTACTAGCTAGGCGAGATTATTGTCTATGTTGCTATGTGACCAGCAGTCTGTGTACCAATCCTCAGGGTTAAACGTTGGTGAATTAGCACTTATACATTAACTCCAGTGTTTAAGACCATTTATTGTGAAAACCGTGTTAGAAGTGTGTGTTATATCGATCAGCAGAGCTTTATTTTACAGCAAAGGAGGATTATTCTATTTTTACCTAAACATCCAGTTCTGCTGTGGAGCCGCAACAGGGTAGTAAAAGAGCTGCATGTTGCCGACCCCTGAACTAGGCAGTAGAAATAGTCCAAAATCAGCTGCCTTGAAATAAAATATGTAATAACATGTAAGGCTTACAGAGCGGATTCTAAATGAAAATCAAATATGTTTAGGTGAGATTGGGGTTGTCATTTACCTCAGATATTTTTCCGTTAGTTTCACATTAGCATTATTATGTGGCTCATATTGACATATGAGTTACAAAAATCTTACGTCAGTACACAAAACCTGTTTAAAAAATAAAATATATGATAGAGATCCACAGATACAAAAGCAAAAAAAAAGTGACAGATATACAAATGTACTACGTTGCTGATGACTTTATACAGATCGAGCGCAGTTTGACGCTCTTGGACAAAATAAAAGTTAAAATAAAATTTCCCAAGTTAAAATAAGTTAACATGTCCTCTACAGAGAACACACCTTTGCACAATAACTGTTTATTTGCTGAAATTAACCTACTGAAAAAAAAAACATCAAATGAGGATTGTGCAAAAGTTATGGCACAACTTATACTGTTTCATTTTTTCCAAGATGTTAAACTCAGCAAACAAACAGAAATTGTGCATTAAAATTAGCAGAAAAATGCCCTATTTAGGTCTGTTCCCTGTAGATGATGTTGTACCAAAACATGTAATATGACTAGGGTGTTCAAATGTTTGCATATGACTGTATAGTGAAACAATACGATGCATCAAAAAGAGCAGAGTGGAAAACTAGTGGAGCGACTGAATGTGTTGCTTGCAACTTTGTTATTGAATTGCTTGTTTTTTAACTCGTGGAAATTATGATGTATGCAACTCACAAGACGCAAGTGGCTGCACGGTGTAAGCCAAGCCTGAGAACTGTATTGTGTAACTGTTCGACCGTATTTATGTGATATAGTCACGTATTTCAAATGTTTACTGATCGACCACAGATGCAGCGGTTGGAGATTAGGTTAAAAAGTGCTCCTTTACAGATACAGTGTATTATAAGACAATATCTCATAAACTACCCCCACAAACACTTTCACTTTACTTTAATGAACCTTAGCCTTTGAGAAGAAGAAGCAGCTCAGTTCATTTCAGTCCAGTTCACTGATGTCACCAGGGAGACTAAACAAGACTTTGGGAAAGACTTTACAAAGAGGGAAAATAAAACACTCCTCCAAATGAGCCAATTGTCTGATCTGGCCATGTGCTGGACATTCCTGACTGCTCACGCAAGCTTGACCACCTGCGGTCATCACCACAAAGGGCATTCGTGTCATCGGATGCTCATACACATGCTGAGTCTGCAGATTTAAGTCGGCAGATACGGATCCTTAATGAGAGTTTCTATCGATTTCTTTGATGCCTGCACGTTTCTGTAATCTTTCGCATCAGAACATGACCTTACCTCCATATCTGCTTTCCCCCCTTTGCCTTTTGCTTTTCCTTTCTTGTCTTTTTTCTTCTCTTTTCGTTCCTTGGAAGAATTTTTGTCTTTCTTCCCCTTGGATTTCTTCTTCTCCTTTTCCTGTTGTTTAGCAGCCAGCTCAGCAGCAACCTGCATAACAATTAACACGCACATAATCTTAGGCTAGAATTACAGCCAAAATACTGCTTTTTTCTGATACTAATAAACCTTGTATAATGGCTAACCTCCATACTGACACTGTATATGTTTTCCTTAAAAACTACACTAACTAAGCTTTAAAATATATTTCATATATAAATATTTTTAATATATAAATATTTTTAATGTAAAATTTTCATTTCAGATGGATGTTTTATGCTTAAGACAACCATCTATAGAGTTTTATTTATTTATTATACTTCCAATTAACATTATTAATTAATGATATATAGTACTATGGATTGCTTTGGTAGAAAGTTATTAGCTTTCTGCAGCACTGAGGTTCAATTTTGGCCCATTCTTCTTGACAAACTGTCTTCAATTCTCCAAGGTTACGTGGTTTCCTACTGATAGACTAGAAACTTCATAATCCTAGGAGACTGGCTAGGCCATGCAAACGTCTTCATCTTCTTTTTTAGAAACCAGTCTCGATTTATTTTAGTTGTACACTCTCAAAACAAAGACACGAATGAGGCAGTACTCTTCTTGTCACTGGGGTGGTTCCCTCAAGAGTACATCTCAGTACCTTTAGTCGGGGAACATAACTGTAACATAATGCACTAAAATGATATTTTCTGTTATATTGTCTCTACGCACCCCGTCTCGTCTCCAGGCTTTTTATTTTATTGTTCTGTTTTAAAACATTCGGTAATGAAAACATAAAAATACCTACTTTCCACCTGAAAAAACTTATTAAAGGTGCAGAATTGGACTTTAAAACCACTGTTGTACCTTTGAGGGAACATTTACATTGTTTGTACCTTGATGAAAGAGAAATGTACAGTGTATGTTTGGAGTTGTTATCTTGTTGAAACATCCTTTTTGTACCCTTTATTAGCCAGTGAGATTAAATTCTCCCCTAATATGTCCCATTACAGCCCTCCACAAGTTTCCTTTGTTAGTGTGTAATGCCCCAGTATCGTTTGCAAAGGATCAGGCCCATATCATGATGCTCCCACCACCATACTTCACTGTAGGTGTGGCGTTATTAAGATCATATGTGCACATTTTCTGTCTCCAAACATTATGAGCTGCCTTATTGCCAAAGATTTCATTTTTTGTGACCAGGGTACATTGTTCCAAAGAGTTCTGATGTGTTTAAATGTGTCTACTGACAAAAGGAAAGAAGAAAATTTGCAAATAGAACAAAGATGCTGTTCAGTCCATTGTTCTCAGAACAATGGACTGACCACTCCAAAGTCCAGACCTCAACATCACTAAATGTGTTTCAGATCACCTGAATCATTAGAAGCAGAAAGTGCAACCAACTTGTTAGACTGAACTTTGGAGGCAAAGTGTGGACACACACGTGTATGTATATATATATATATATATATATATATATATATATATATAGATAGATAGATAGATAGATAGATATTGAAAGATGAATAATTTGATTAAAAATCAAATTTTTTGACTGTAAAATAATTTAAGTAAAGGGTAGTCTCTGACTTTTGCACAGTCCTGTAGCTATGATGTGTAAGCTGTGTCAGATAGCTTCATTATTCATGTCCTGTGTGTACATGTGCGTGTGTTGACCTGCTCCGGTGTCTTCTGCGCAAATATGGAAGCTGATCCTCCGTCCTCAGCACTTGGGAAATCAGGGAATTTTCCAGTAGCATCTCTGCAATGCAAAAATAGGCACTTTTTAATGTGTTTGGACATAAAGTACATATATTAGAGTAGTGTGTATTCCAAAAAAAGGGGTCTTCTTTTGGGACTCATGTACAATCAAAGACAACAAGTGCTTTTATTTTGTTCATGCTTTCTGTCAAACTCACAAAAATCAACAAAGGAAACAGCCCAGCTCAATATCCACACGCTAACCTCCAGCTGACCAGGTTAATTACTTTTACCCATTCGTATAGAAAGGCCTCATTTGATTGGCCTCTCATTACGGGACAAAAATAAATAAATCACAGGACTCGTGTGGGGTAATGCAATTAGGCCAGAGATTTTTCAGAATGAAAAAAGACAGGCTTCACTTCTAGATGCAGATCAATAAAACAGCAGGAACAAAGACAAATCGCTCATATGTGAACTGCGAAAGTCATGAATGAAGAGGTTACATTAGCCAGATCCAGCGCACGCACTCAGGGGACCTCAGGCAGGTTTAGAGTAACAGGATAAAAACGTCAGCTCTCCACTCTCACTTCTGCCTTGCTTAATCAGAAGCAGACTGGCTGCTCCTCACGTACTGAGAGGCGGCTTCACTACTACAGGACACATAGAGGAACTAAGCTTCACTGGAAGTATCCTGTAATAGCTAAATTGGTGGATCCCTTTTTCTCTTTTGTTTTTCCAAAAAGATGTCATGTTCTACTTGTCTTGCGTTAGACATAGGAAGGAGATCCACCCATGCAGTGAATGAAGAAGTGGTTACATTTTTTTGTGATCAATTTTTTATTTATTTCCTGTTAATCAAGCAGCTCTTTATCACAACATTACAGAACTGAAGGAAATAAAAAAAAAAACTTTTTTTAATCTGTGGTAATTTCCAACCTAACTAAGTCATGCAGTTTAAATAGCCAGTGTCGTACACTTAGATGTAGGCGAAGACGCCTCTGTGCAGTGATTTTTTTATCCAATGTTAAACCAGCGAGCCACATCCTCCTTTGTTTTCCTGTTAAATTTAAATTGAAGTCATCATTTAGCAGTAATACAGCTGGATCCACGGGATTTTCTTGTCCAACCAGGGCAGATAATATGGTAGTAACCTTTGTCCATCATCCATCAAGTCATTAACATCCCTACATTCCCACACCATATGCAAAAGAGTTCCCATTGGTTGTTGTGGACGATGGTTGCAGTAGGGATTTAATGCACTTACATTTGATTTACATTTGCAGTCAAAATTTGAGCTTTAAACCTGGTTGATCATGATTATCTGCACTTTAAAGAGAAATGAACTTTTTCAAAATTTCTGCATGATGTTTAAGATGTAAACACAGTCATTCGGAGTGGTTTGACATTAAACGCTCTGTTCTTGAGAAACAAAAAAAGATTTGTTCACAGTGGTGATGATAGGAAGCGGACATCTGAAGTGTTTAATGCCTCTAAAAGTTATTACATGAAATAGTTACAAATACGCTGCTTGAGGCCTGAAACATTTTATGATTCATGATAGTTTTGAGAAACGCTTTTGGCCTAAAATGTATTTTTTTAAAGCCATTAATTTTAAGTCAAAATAGTAGTCTAAAGTAGAGGTCTGCATGGTTTTTTCAGTCCCACTCCCACCCGCTCTTGCAAGATCCTGCTCATGCAGAATATCGGAATCATTTGTCCCGCGCAGTTCCGTCAAAGCGAACTGACATCCAGTATCTGACATAATCTATTCACAAATACCTTATCCTCTGCTGAAATAACACAACAGTCATGGTCATCAGGCTCATTGTGAGTAACTTCACCAAATGCCCTTTTTTCCCAGTAAACAAAAAGCAGGAATTAAACCACATTGCGGTTATTTCTGGTGTTTTGCTGGGCAGCTGTGTCCATCCGACTGAAGGCACCACCGTCTCTGTGAGCTATGAGAATTTGCGTGTTGTTCATGTGATCAGTTGCTTCACAGCTGTTTAGAATGACTTCATTAATTTTAACCATTTTACTGTTATCATTTTATATTGTTTATATATATGATTTAGTTCTAACTTATTAAGGCTGTTCATTAATTAATGAATTGCTAATTCATACTGGATTAAAATCACGGATCTCGTCGGTTATCACTCAGATTACGACACCTCCCCAGGTAAAACTGATCCAGCTAGAAGGGCTTTAGAAAACTATTGTTATCACCACTGTACCATCACTACTCACTCATCATCAAAGCCGCTTATCCTCCTGGGTTGTAAAACTAAAAAAAAAATACATAAATCGAGACACTGAATCTTTTTCCTGCCCTGCCATGAGACTCTATAAGCCATTATCATTCAACCAAATTTAAAATACAAACCATCAGGGGACGTGTGACTATTTGACTTTCATACGAATAGAAATATATTTACTTTTGTAAAACTGGCTCTTTATTGATTAGAGTTCATGGATTGTGTGGAGCTTTACTTATCTTTATTAGTTATCTTTACAGGAGCATGTAGCTCATGATTCTTGTATTTTGATGATTTTAATGCAATGAAACAACAAGTAAATGCATTCTTGAACTGTATATTCAACATATATCATTGACCTGATCATCGATGACCAAGTTATTACTGATGGCATCTGTAGTGTAAGAGGTTTGAATGCTAAAGCTAAGAAAAGAGAGTCTCTAATTCTTCATAAAAAAGTAAGTGAGACGAATCACAAGACCATCAGAAGAACTAGTGTCTGCAAGTGTTGTGGCCAATCTGTCAAATGATTTGAGGAAACTGTCACGTATGAGGACCAAATATGGTCAAGCAAGTCACACGTGATCTCAGAATTAGAGGCATTTGAGATGCAACTCAGCAAAAACAGAGGTGTCTCTGAAATAACACCACAGCAAAATGCTGTACAAGTTTCAGTGTTTCAACAGATGCGAGTGTGTGACGCAACATATGACCCAAAAACATGGAAAGTGTGCAAGGGCCAAAAAATTACATATAAAATTACATATATAAATGACATATAAATATTTGTGTCTAACTGTTAAGTATTAACAGGACGCAGATAGGGCCAGTGCATGAGCTCCGTAGGTATGATTCCCACTGCCAAACACAGAGCACTCAGTGTAAATGACGTATTAAGAGTTCAGTGCTATTTCAGTACTGCAATGTGGTAAAGAATTCAATACTTTAGTTTTGAATACTTTTGGCTTTTTGTTTAAATATGCTAAAGTAATATTCCTTCTATAGGACAGGGATCGGCAACATTTTCCTCTGGTGCCACATGCAGCTCATTTCCTGCCCTGTTGTGGCTCCACAGCAGAATTAGATTTGTAGGTAAAATTAAAATAATCCTCCTTTGCAGTAAAATAAAGCTCTGCTGATCGTTCAACACAGTTCTAACACAGTTTCACAGGTCTTAAACGCAGGAGTTAATGTAGAACTGCTAATTCACCAAGGTTGGCGCACAGGCTGCTGGACACCATAACAATACAGACAAAAATCTCAGCTAGCTTGTAGCTAACGAAAAGGCAAAGAGAAAGATTTAAGACAAACATCGATAATTTGGAGACGAATGGACTTATTTGTGTTTATAATCACTCCAGCCGATTTCCTGATATGTTTAATCTAAAAAGAAGAACTGTCAAACATTAAAAAGACACAAAACTGAAGTCAGCTTCTTCTTAGAATTTTTCTGTTCCACCTTAAATGGCGCAACAGCTACATTCTGGCGCCTCAGGCACCATTTAAGGTGGAACGGGAAAAATCTAATAAGAAGCTGGTGAATAAGAAGCAACTCCAGCCTCGTAAAAAGCAGAACATTGAGAGACATTTTACAAGAAACTTTTTCACTTTTGAGGAAAAGCTTCCAGCCAGAGATGTGAGAAAAGTGGCTTAAAGCAGAGGAAAATAAGTCAGCGTTTTTGTTTATATTATATTTTTAAGTCTATACATTAGCTAGCATATATTAAGACATATTTTTAGATGGTAAAGTGTTACTTCAATAAAATGGACGTAAAACGTTGTGGCTCCCAAGGTGGTTTAAAAGGCAAAATGGCACTTCTTAAAATTCGGGTTGGCAACCCCTGCAATAGGAGAATAAAACTGTACATGCTGACTTGGATGGGCAGAGATACATTTATTAGCATATCTAAAACAGAGATGAAAGGTTTTATCAAGTGACCTTACATTTCCTGAAACCAGTATAATCCATTTAACACCAGTTTTAATGCTAGACTGTATTTCCTCATTTCACAAATCTCCACTTCAGAACATGTTTAATGATATTTTAAATTATTTACTTACATGATTTGTTTAACAAAAGCTTTATTTTGATATTGCATTTGAATTTGAATTTCAGAGATGTTAAAAGCACACTCAGGTCAAAATGTGACCATCTGTTGTGAAAATGCCTACTTGCTTCCATAGCAGGATGCTGGAAGGAACTGTGAAAAACTACAACTGCTTTTAAGGTGCTAAGCAGGCCAGACAGCTTCCCATCTTTCACTGTTGCTAGGAAGCTGAATATCTTACTGCAGCCACGTAAGTGTAGTAACTGTCTTCAAATCATCATTACAATGAAGAGAATGGATTACACAAATGACATTTATAACTCATCAGATTAACAAGATGAAGGCTAAAGCAAGCAAGGCAGCTACCTGACTATTTTACCATGATAATGACCCCAAAAACACGAAAAAGTGCAAGAACTATGGGGTGAAGTTGGAAAATTAAAGAACTTTTCTAACTGCTTTCATACTTTCAATGCTGTTAATATAATTAATGAAAGTTATATTTTATAGAACACTGTGAGTTCTAAAAACCAGCTTCCAGCAAACATACTCAAACATTTCGGCACTGGTAAATCTTCAGTGATCAATGAAGCTTGTATAGGAGACACAGAGGTTGTAAAGCTTTCATGTAATAGCTTTGTGTGACGTGACTTTTAGAGGCATTAACCACTTCACACGTCCACCATGGTGAATAATTCTGACTCAGAAAGTTTCACTAGAACAGAGCATTTCACATCAAACCACTCCGAATGACTACATCTCAACAATTATGCAGAATTACGCAGCACTTATAAGAAAAATCCTTGTGAGTCTTTCCTTTAGCCTTAAATGGCCCGGGCCCACCAGCAGGCCTAAAGTTTTATTACCCACTTTTATACCCTAAGAATAGCTGAGCCAGTTTGCATTGTAATCTGTGCAGTTACTGAATAATAAGCCTTAGTATGTAACAAGCCTGGGATTTTAATGGTTAAACACTTAACATCCCAGCCTTATTACACAGTGAGGGCTCTAACTCAGTAACTCCTTGGACTATAATGCAAACTGGCTGGGTTATTCTTAGGTTATAGAAGTCTGTAATAAAACTTTGGTCCTCCTGGCCATTTAAGCGGATAAGGTGGACATTTCAACTCTTTCAATGTCAGTTATGCCTGCTATGACCTCGATCATCAAGGTCAAGGCTTGACAGGATTGATAGGCTTGGTCAGAGGCTATGACCTATGATCATTAAGGAGTCTTACCAACCCAGCCACACACTGTTTCACCTTCTCCCATCTGGGAGGAGATACAGAAGCATTCGGACCAGAACCATCTCCCTGCTGAACTCCACACCACTCCTCTAATACTCATACTTGTATGTTGCACACAATACTTATTCATTATTCAATATCCCTTGCATTTCCACACAACAGACTGTTCACTGTATAGAGAATACAATACATAACTGCTTACTCTAACAGTACGTAACATACCTTATATACATTTGTATTTATAGTACTATGTGTATATATACATGTATATATTATTCATAGATATATTCATAGATATATATCTATCACCTCTTCCTTACAGCTTACAAAGTAAAAAGAACTTATTCCAGTATAGATGTTTGTATAACTCATAGTTTGTTTCATGGTTTAAAGGTGCTGGTTGTTCTTGAATGTTTGGCCCTCTTCATTGCGGCCATACATTTCCATGGCTTACACGAGCATACAGGTACTGTCCATAGCCTCATAATTCCTGGCTTCATAAGAGCGCATAAGCATCATACACGCTGTACATTGTTTCCCCTCCAAGCCCTCAGGTTCCGACAGTCATGTTTGAGTGATTCACCATCTGTCTGGCCCGCTGTCAGACTGCACCATGACTGTTTCACCTCGTCTACCTTAATCAGCGCACCAAAACTACGCCAACACGCCTCACCCTGCAGGTCTTGACCTTGTGTCACGTACATGGTTTATATGAGCACCCGGAGCCTGGTAAGGTCATTGCACAGAGGGGCTGCTGAAGGGCCTATAGTCACTCACCTTCCCTGTGGGGTCCAGCTGAGATGACTTATGACCCTAGTCTCCACACTAATGGGCAGCAACATCCAGTGGCCAGTTGTAAATCAGCCTGGAATGCGCTAATCAGCCTGGCCCCACTCTGAACTGAGCACAAGCTGACCTAGCACGAGTGTTAGCCTAGCATAAACAAGAAAGGCTAATTGAGACCACCGTAGCTACCGCTAACATTCCAGCCTCCAAGCAAAAGAGGCAGAGACAAAAACAGGGAGGAATGCATCTCACAATTAGAGCGAGATAATGCAGATGGAGAGATGGAGTGCAAAGCTCTTGTGATGAGCACTGGAGCATGGGAGCAAATTAGCGGATTAGCCCAAGTACACAAGGGCTAAGAGGAAGTCTGAACGACAGCAGCTTACTAGACATGAACAGCCCCAAAGCTACTGAAAGAAAGCATGCAGAGGTACTAGTTCTTAATTTTGCTGTGCAGCATCTTTCTGTGAATGAATTCAACAAAAAAAATATTTTCTGTACCACTAGTTTTACAAAATAAAACTAAGATTTCCACAGTGCTGTAAATACAGGGTGTCCCAAAAAAGTTGATATCATTTTGTAGTCTAATAACAGCTAATTCCCCCTCAAATGATCTCAAATTTTAACAAAATGTGTAAAAACTAACCAAGTTTAATTTTTAATGTTTTTTTTCAGGTTGAAGAACGGCGTTCACTAGAAATAAAAAGGCATTTTGTGTGTTAGAATATGCTCAAACACAGTCAGACAGGAGAGTGCAGCGGCATTTTCGAGAAAATTCAATAAAAATGCACCAACTAGAAAGCAGATTTGGACATGGCACAAAAAACTCAAAGAGGAAGGCTGTCTGTGCAGGACAAAGGGATCTGGACGACCACCAGTATCGGAGGATATTACATTTGTGAAGCTGTGAAATCGGTGATAAAATCTACATTCCTCTGAATTTCTTGCTCGAATTTTGATAAATGAATCTTGTATTGTTCAACACGAAGCCTATTTAATTTCGTTTGCCTCGGACATGTAGTTATTCAGATATTCTCATCTCAAATGATGTCAATTTTTTTGGGACACCATGTAGCTCTCAATAATCTATAATACTTTCACCTCCATACAGTGTTCCTGTAGGACTGGTTTATAGTAATCTACAGCGTGCAAAAGTCAGAGAACACCCTTTGTTTGTTTAATATCCAGTCAAAACCGCCATTAAATACAACTTATTCATTTTTCAGCATTAGGAAAAAAGCAGAAAACACATATTTAACAGAAATTATACAGAAGCTGCACCAACTAAATATCATTTTTTCAGTATTTAGTGACCATCTTTGCCTTCATCACAGCTTCTATTCTTTTCTGTTTTACAAAGAAATCTGCAGGGATATTTGCCCACACCTCCAAAGGTCAGTCTTAGAAGTTGGTTATATTTTTTGCTTTTCATGATCCAAGTAATCATAAACACATTCAATAATGGCGAGGCCTAGAATTTGGGGGTGGTCAGTCCATTGTTAGAACATAGGCAGATTCTTTGTCTTCTTTGTTCTTGGTCTTCTCACAGTGGGAGGACGAACAGAAACACTTGTGGATTTATTTGGAGCAAGAGTGGGGCTTGATTTTCTGCATGGATGCATGGATGTTATAAGACCCATTATCCTTTAAAACTTTCATTATGCAAGTGGATTATCTTATATCTAGTCTCCTCAGAAATATCTCTTGAAAAATGAGTAACTCGTACTTAATGGCCACCTTGACTAGAAATGAAATAAATGAAAGGGTGGTCTCTGACTTTTGCACTGTACTGTAGTATATAATACCCTATAGTAAACTACATGTCTGAGTTGCAAAGAAGAACAGAAATGCATAAACACCAATGACTACACTGTGTCACCAAGCTAAAACGAGTGCTAAGTATCAGATGTAATCATCGTCTGTGATTTCAGTGATCGGCAATAGCAATAACAATTAAATTTTCCCAGTTTTCACTGAATAATATATCAGGTATTGCAGAAATGCAACCAACTTCTAACACTGACCTTGGAGGTTTGGAAAAATATAGAAAATTCTCTGAAAAACTGAAAGCCAGTCTCCCAAAGAATGGACTAATAAAAGCAACAGGGTCAGACACACTAAATACAGAAAAAATGATATTGGTAACACTTTCTATGAATGTCACCTTTGTAAGCATCTATAAACACATTCATAACATGTTATAATGCATTCATAAGACATTATAAACATAGCTATAAATATTTATAAAAATGCATTATACGTTATAGCCATGCTTATTATGCATTATGAATTGTTAATACATTATAAGTACTGTTCATAACAAATTATAAGAGCTCATAAGTCGTATTAGTCCGCTCTAAGTGAAGTGAAGCGTACTGTACTAAAGCCTCCTCCAGTGTTCAGAGTGAGGCTTCAAGTTGAAGTATTAACTGAAGGATTTACTGAAACACTAAAACATTCACAGTAAAGCACATTACAGGCTTCAAATGTCAGAGTTTAAACTAGGGCTGCCATCAGTGTTTTACCCAATGTGGGAAAGGTAATGTACACCACCGTTAGCTTGGTATTTGTCTTTACGCTCTCCAAGCTGGGACTGACTTCTTTGGCACTGAAATTATAACGTTATTAACACTATTTATAATGCATTATATTAACAATTCATAATGTATAATAAACATGGCTATAAAGTGTAATTCAGTGTAATTCTTTTTTATAAATATTTATAACCATGTTTATAATGCCTTATGAATACATTATAACAAGTTATAAATGTGTTTATAGATGCTTACAAATGCGGCACTCATATTTAGGTGTTAAGGCTTCTGTGTAATTTTCTGTTTAATAAAAGTTTTCAGTTTTTTCCTGATGCCAAAAAATGAATAACCCATACTTAATGGCTGTTCTGACAGGAAATTAAATAAATGAAAGAAGGTCTTTGACTTTTACACTCTACCGTTTATTATGCAACCCCCGTTATATCTCAGTTTTGGTTTACCGGCATTCGAGGAACCACTGGCGTATCTGCTCCTGCATTGTTTCCTTTATGTCTGGTCCATCCACTAAACGAACTGACTCTTTGATGGTGACCAGTGCCTGCTGGTACTCTGTCTCATGGTCCTCCTGCACCTGCCTCCTACTGCTCTCCACCTGCTTGGCTCGCTGATGGGCAGGGCTGAGATTTGGGAGCTGAGGTGCAATCTGCGAACAACAGCAAGTTGATAGAGTAAGATCCTTATCTGATTCTTGGTAAGTGTAAATCTGGAAAGGACAAAACACATGACTGCTTTAGCTTCACTGACTCACTCAGAACCTGAAAAACAATGATCAAAACAGAAAGAGAACTGAGCCAATACAACAGGAGAGGAAATGTCTGTCATAGACAGCACTCAAGCAGGGCATCCTGGTACCAACCATTCCCAAAAAGATCATTTCCTCTAGACGCTCCTTGCTGGTCCTCTTCCTCTGTCTGTAACCCCTCCACACCTACAGTAGATGACAAACAAAACACAGATGTACCGGGATCAGTCCCTGAGAAGGAGTCTGGGGCATTGGAGACAGTCACTGAGCATGATGACATCACATGCCTTTCACAAGAGGCAGTTAATCACAAGCCAGCATTACAAATGAACATTTGTCATAAAGTAATACCAAATAAATCTTAAAATGCCATGAAGGATGATGTAGTGGTGGCACAGTGGTTAAGGTGCTGGTGGACCTAAACAAAATATTGGTTCAAGTCTGGGGACTTCAGAAAATCTCTGCTGCAGTACCACTGTCTGTCTGCTGTGGGCCTTCAAATGAAGACTATAAACCACATAATGCCAGAATAAGAGAAAGTATGAGACTTGTGATGGGCTATTTGTCAAGGAGCCGTCTAGAAACAATTTAAAATATACAGTCAGGTCTAGAAATGTTTGGATAAAAAAAAAGTTCATTGTTATTTCAGATATCTACAACAGCATGTTGGAGCTAAAATTAAATAATGAATATGAGCTCAATGTGCAGACTTTTAGTGTTAATTTAGAGGGTTTTTACATACAAATCAGATGAACCATGTCATATGAACTGTTTTTATACATAGCTCCCCGCTTTTTAAGGTCAAAAGTACTTTGACAGCTGGCTGCTCAGCTGTTCTATGTCCAGCTGTGCATTATTTCCTTATTATTTCACTTGCAAGTAAGCAAATAAAAGGTCTAGAGTTGATTTCAAGTGTGTGACCAGATTCAAGTTTGCCAAAAAAGCCTGTTCAATTCTGTAACAATATCTTATGGACAGATGAGACAAAGACCAACATGTACCAGAATTACTGGAACAGAATTGTATGGAGAAGGGAAAGAACTTCTCATTATCCAAAGCATACTACCTCATCTATGAAGCATGGCGGAGGTAGTGTTATGGCATGGGCATGTATGGGTGCCAATGGAACTGGTTCCATTGTATTTATTGATGATATGAATGCTGCTAAAAGCAGCAGGATGAGTTCTGAAGTGTATAGGGCTACATTATCTCCTCAGATTTAGCCAAATGTTCAGAACCCATTGGACAGCACTTCACAATGCAGACTGACACTGATTTAAAGCATACTGCAAAAGCAAATCAATGCTTTTTTAAGGCAATGTAGTGGAATATTCTGCAATGGCCAAGTCAATCAGCTGACCTCAATCCAGTCAAGCATGTGATTGACTGAAGGCAAAGCTGAAGGTAAAACAACCCAAGAACAACCAGGAACTGAAGACAGCTGTGGTAAAGGCCTGGTAGAGCTTCACCAAGGAAATAGATAGTGTCTGGTGATGTCTGTGGTTTGAATTTCCACATCATTCACTTGGTTTGGATGTAAATACCCTGAAATTAACTCCAGACAGCTAAAATAACAATGACTTTGTCTATGTCCAAGTATTTATGGACCTGACTGTATGCATGTACAAATAAGTACAAATGTTTGAGTCGTCCCAACTTCAGTTTTGAGAAAAGGTAATATTTAAATTTCACTCAACAAATAAGTTCAATTGTGTTAAAAAGCCTTAAGTTTATTAGAATATCCAAATGCAGAATGTTGATTGTTTGTACTAAGTTGGAACAAATTGAGGTTCTTACAGTGTGAATTACTGGTATCTATCACCACATCACCTGCATTCACTTTTTAGCTGAAAGGAATGTACAACATCCGTGACCGGCCGTTTTCTTCCAAACCGGAGAATTCAGTTTTATATGCATACAAAACAGTGAGAATGAGAGCCATTCTAGGTTGACCTCAGCATGAAGGCATGTAATCTTAAGGCTCAGCTTATAGGTTTTTGCTCATAGGCAATGGGAAGGAGCTTCATTTATCCTGAGGATTTTCCTGCCTCTACGTGAGAGCAACAATGAAGCCAGCGCAATTAAGGTTGGTGGGATAAAAGAGATTATGTCTCCAGGATTTCAGACCCCAGAAGTAAGACTGAGAATGAGAAGGGCAAACACTGAGGAGATTAGACCGTCTCAGCATAATACCGTGGCCTACCGTTTGACCCCAGCAAATCACTTAACACACACTGAGGCAAAAACACACAAAATGCCAGTTTATATGGAATTTATCTGTTTCTGCAACGTGAAATGAAATTAAGGCATTTAATAAGCCACAATACTAATGCTCGTATTTATTATTATGATTTATCTCAAAATGATGAGATACAAGATACTGTCTCATACTTGAGATCTTCTATCTTCTAATTATGAAATACTAGTAAGTCATAGCGAGATTTTCTCATACTTATGAGACAGTATCCCATATTAATAGAACCTTTCTAATTTTTACAAGATATTTAGTTATAATAAGATACTAGATAATAAGTCAAAATTATGAGAAATTTTTTTACAATAAATTTTACAATTTACAATATATTTTGTTATGATTGAGACACATCATAACTATCATAACAATGAGAAAACTTTGTATTATTATTATACAATATAGAGTCATAATTGTGAGATACTATCTCATTATGAGATGGTAATTCATTATGAGACAGTACATTTATGAGAAACTCTCATTTTTACCAACTTTTGGTCCTAATTGAGAAGCTCATTCATTATTCTAAGATACTAAGTCATAGTAATAAGATACTATTTCATAATTATGGGAAAATGTCAATATTATACAATATTAAATATTCTCGTTATCATAATATAATAAGTAACTATGAGACACTATCTCATAATTATGGCAAACTTGCTCAATTTCTCACAACTTCATGTTTTTTGAAAGTTTTCAAACTTTTTAAAAAAGTTTTTGAAGTTGAAATTCTATTTTTCATACGAAATTACACAATGTTGTTGACAGTAACATACAGTGAGATTTGGATACCAGTTTTGAAATATGTGCTCTTAATGCTATGCATTTTAGCATTATTTACTGACATAGATATTGTGAAGGCTTTTCTGTTTCTATATGGCTGAGAATTAGTGGATAGTGCAAAGTACACAGTGGCTAAGAGGAGGTGTATGAGAAACTCTCATTATGATCAACTCAATGTTTTTAAGTGTCAGAAACAGGTTCCCAAAAATGAAACTAATCAGCCACAAATATTAAATATGCAATAACCATCACGACAAGTAAAAAGAAAGCCATGTTGTTGTGACAAAGCCCTGTTTTGTACAGTATGTACACTTGCAGGGTCTCTTTCTCACGCGATTGCAAAAAACACTTAGATCTCTTCAATCATATCTCGGATCTCTTTAAGGCTGCATCAGTGTCTGGGTTCAGCAGGCATAGACACACACGCATCCAAGAAGACGTCAAGCTACCCCGGCTCAGATTACATGATTAGAAGAGTAGAAAGGAAGGCCTAAAATCCAGGAACACTTTCTCTCTTGCATCTCTCATCACTGAGGCGCTAATCCGCTCCATGCTAACAAAAGGGCCATAAGCACATTATCCGCACAGATGAGCTGGGCATGTATCTTTTATGTATGGGTGGGATCGCATGACATGCATAATCCCTGGTGGGTAGATTTAGCATTGCAGAGCCAGTCAAGGGCGATGACAGTACAGATGGACATCAGTGAGTTCATGCTCAGGTTGGGCTATGGTTGTGCTCTCCCCTGTGCCTGAAAGTGGGCTTGATGTTTGTCCAACTATGCTTAATTCAGAGTGCATAGGGACTATAATAAAATTCACATCATTTCCGCAGTTAGAGGCCCTTTGGCTCTCTCTAGCTATACTGAATTTACACTAAATGTACTCATTGTCCAGGTTGAAGGCTTCAGAAAAATTTGTATCTCCACATGGATGCTGATATTACATTTTGTGGCAAAGCACTCGAAGTTTGGCATTTGAGTTATGCGACTCTGAGCACCAGTGGAGCAATTGTGGTAAAAAATCAACAATAAATGGCTTATTATTGCCCTTAAAATTACACAGATATATTTCATAGCTGTGATTTGGCATAGCAATACCCAGGTTATACATTTATAACCCAAAGTACGTCTATATTCATCCACAAACATGCAATTGTCGTATCATAAATCATACTCTAGGAAAAGAATACATTGAGAAATATGGCCCTGGTGATATTGTTTTACATTAAGGAAGCCCCTGGAGGTTTGTTGAAAATTTCAAGAATAACTTAATACAGTGTGGGGAGGTACGATGTGAGCTCTCAGCAGCTATTAACTGCAGTTTAGAATGTCCTTGGCTCTAAAATACAGCATAACAGCAGTGAGTTCCAGGGATTTACTCCTGATTGGATGCCCTGCTATCTACACTGACCAACACTGGATGTTGCCTTTGTGAGAAACAGTTGATGATAATGTTTTTAGCCTATTTTAAATATAAGGTGATGTTGATATAGCGATGTCTTGGTAAGCTAAGTGGTGAAATGGCAGACGAAAACTTGTTTGATGATTTGCACATCACTGCAAGAAAACAAGAAAACATGTTTTCTTCTGCTTTCGTATTAATTTTATAGTAGTTGCCATTTCTTTCTATCAAAGTAACTGAATAGTATAAGCCCATTTCCAAAAAAAGTTGTGTGCAAAATGTAAATAAAAACAGAAAGCAGTGATGTGCAAATCATTCAAAGCCTAAATTTAATTGGAAATAGTACAAAGACAACATATCAAATGTTGAAACTGAGAAATTGTACTGTTTTTAGAAAAATATTTGTCCATTTTGTATCTGATGCCAGCAAAAGACTGGCAAAGTTGTATAATGCTGAAAAAAACACCTGGTGGAACATCTGGCAACTAATTAGGTCAATTGGCAACAGGTCAGTGACATGACTGGGTATAACAAGAGCATCCCAGAGAGGTTGAGTCTTTCAGAAGGTAAAGATGTGGAGGGGTCCTCCACTCTGTGAAAGACTGCATGGGCAAACAGGTAAAAAAGGAAATAACATCATCTACGGTCCATAAGGTCATTAAAAGATTCAGAGAACACAGAGAAATCGCTGTATCTCGTTGACAAGGCTGAAAACCAGTTTTGGATGTCCATAATCTTTAGGTCCTCTGCCGGCACTGCATTGAAAACAGACATGATTCTGTACTGTAAATCACTGCATGGGCTCAGAAACACTTCTGAAAACCACTGTCTTTGAAAACAGTTCATCGCTGCATCCACAAATGCAAGTTAAAACTCTAAAACACAAAGAAGAAGTCATATATAAGCAGGATCCAGAAATGCTGCCACCTTCTCTGGGCCCAAGCTCATTTAAGATGGACTGAAGCGAAGTGGAAAAGTGTCCTGTTGTCCGAATAAGGAAAATCTTTATTTTTGGAAATCGTGGATGCAACATCCTCTAGGCTATAGAGGAGAGGGACCACCTGGCTTGTTATCAGCCCACAGTTGAATATCCAGCATCCGTGATGGTATAGGGGTACATTAGTGCACATGGCATGGGTGACTTTTACATCTGTGAAGGCACCCATAATGCTGAACAATATATACAGGTTTGAGAGCAACATATGCTGCCATTCAGACGACGTCTTTTCAGGGAAGACCTCGATTATTTTAGTAATGTCAAACCACATTCTGCACATATTACAACAGCATGGCTCTGTAGTAAAGAGTCCAGGTGCTAAACTGACCTGCCTGCAGTCCAGACCTGTCACCACTGAAAACATTTGGTGCATTACAAAAAAAAATACGATAAAGGAGACAACTGGATATTAATCCTGCAGTTTCAGTCCTGTAAGGGTTAAACTGTAAGAGTTGTTCAGCACCTTCTGTATGAGAGTGGCTGCCAGATGGGGGTCTGAAGCGATGGGACTGCAGTTCTCCCCCCGCCTCGTTCTCCGCTCCTCCTGCCAAATCTCCTTCATGAAGTGAGCTCTGAGACGGCCCTGCCGAGCACGCTCGCTCACCTGCAGCAGCTGCACAGCCCGCTCCACTGACATGGTCTGCGCTGGAAACTACAAAGCCCAAGCACACAGCACCATGGACAAGTTAATGTAATAGTGTTGACAGCAAGAAACACAGTCAGACTTTGTTATCATTTCTGCAGGATGTGTTTTTACGCTACTTACTTTAGCATGACATTCTGATTACACTTAATGTCAGAGATAAATGTTGTGTATGTTTCCTGGTTTTGCATGAGAGGAGATCAGGTTAAGGACAAATGACAAGAGACAAGAGCTCACTTAGATATATACAGTTTCAAAGCTACAGAAATGGGCATGGTTAGTCACTAGTTCTCAAAAATATTGCAAATTATATCCATTTATATTGGCCCAATTGTCAAGAAATGTTCTCACAAAATGAAGCGCAGCTGTTGTTGTTAAACTGATGTTTTATGCTATTTATTTTATCATAATATTCTGATTAATCTTAAAGCTCAATCTTGTGGATGGTTTTCTGGTCCTCCTTCATCTTAATAGGCTTTAAATTTCCGCTGGGTACCATGCAGAGTTTAATACGCACCGGCTCCTGATCCAAGTGTTCCTTTTTAGCCAGAATATGAGCCAGCATCTTCTCTCTCTCTCTCAACGCTTTCATCCTCTCTCTGACAAAATACCGTGGGATGGGCACCTCCAGGTCCTCCTACGAAAAGCACGAAAGATTTCACGTGGATCAAAGCTCTGGATGAAACTGGTCCAGCCTGTGGAAATCTGCAGAGAATTACTGGTGTAGGTCGAGCGACCCCAATTAGCTTTTCGCTGAATTCAAAGGTGTTTTAAGAGGATTGAGTTTGCTAAGTAGCAGGTTGCTATGACATAGAAAAGTGAGTTTCCGGAGTCAGATTAAGTGCAGTAAAAACTTTTAACTGAAGATCCTGCTAATCATTACACTGAAGCCTAAGGCTGGATTAAACAGGCCTCAAGCGTTTAAATCTGACGCATGTCTAAATCTCTTAAATGTAAGGTCCACCTTTTTAGATTTACACCTTACTGTAAAGTCACTGGAAGTACTTAAAATATTAACTTTACTGATTATAGACAGACAGAGAGACAGACAGGGAGATGTAGTTTATCCTAAACAGCTTGTCTGTTCACTAGCTACCAAGATAGCAAGAGCACAGCCAGCTACTGTTCATTTTCACAATCCAATTCGCCTCTTTTTCCATAATTTCCTTCTTTATCCTTTGTAAATTAGTTTAGTAAATCATTTTAACAGGAGTATCATAAATTAAAATTCATTCAATACATCTGTAACCAATCTAGAACAGTGTCAGCAACAACATTTTTAGCAAAATTATTTTATTTGAAGAGATTAAAAACTATAGTTAGACCTTGCAGGACAGTAATCTAGGTGGTCTGAGGGTAAACAGTGGCATATAGTCAGTGATTTGCTGACCTTATTGAGACATCGGACTGATATATGCTTGCTATTGGGTAGATGCATTTTATTGATACCTAAGTGGGCATTTACATCTTGCTAAACTAGCTAACAAAATGTACGTTGATCCCTGAAGGGAAATTAACATCTGGCTAGCCATTTAGCTGTTTACCCATTTATCTACCTATAAGTCAAAAGTGGCTGTACAGCAAGGCAGAAATCTGAGAATATAACCCTTACAGTTAAGTTATGCTTGGTGTCTGTTTAAATTTAGCCTTAGACTAGCAGACTAGCAAGATAGTGAAGCGGAAAGCTAGCTAGTTCATTAGCTACTTAGCAAGCTAGACACCCTTCATTAATTCCTAAGGAAAAATTTACAAGAAGCTGGCTGTACATTATTGATCCCCAAAAGGAAAGTTTGGTCAGATTGTATATTAACATAAGAATTTACTTAAGAATATAAAAATGTATTTATTCTTAATGTATAAGAATAGATTTTGTTTCCACAGCGAAACTCTCGCTTGTAAATTAAATGGTGGCACATTGACAATCTGCATGCAAATGAACTGAGACAATGATTCTACTGTACAGAAAGAAAGTGGCAATACAAAACATGAATACAGAACATTTCTCACATCCTGCACTGTGATCTGGTTTCTGCCCAATACACACTGCACACTTACAGGAGTCATCTTCAGGTCTTGTAGCACATCATCAAAGTAGTGAAACTCAGAAAACTCCAGCTCCACCATCTCATTCTTCAGCTCCAGCAGCCGACCCATGACCCCCTCCAGAACGTGTAGCACCACACGTCTCTTCTGTGGATGAACGATCTGGTCGTAGACTACTTCCAGACGCCTGACGATGTGGAGGTAGCGCAGGTAGAAGGTGGACAGAGTCTGGAAGACCTGCAAACGGTCCTTCTGGGGATGGAGCTGTGTCGGGGGGATCTCATCTTTCAGCAGGTCTGCCAAGGCCCCCTGGGCCTCTGCCCATATTCTGCCATAGGAGCTTGTGACGAACCATAAGCAGCACCATTCAAAACTTGGAATTTAATTTTAATTTTACGCTTATACATTGTAGATTCAAATATTATAAACTAGACACACTTTCATTAGCTTGAGAACAACAAGAAGTTATTAAATAAGTAATAATATATTGTAATTAGCCACTTACAAAATACCCCACAACCTTCACTTATTTAATGTCCAGTCAAATTGGCCATTGGATTGTGAGAAGCAGAAAATGCAACCAACTTTTAAGACTGAACTGTAGTGGTGTGGAAAAACATCCCTGCAGATTTCTTTGAAAGCAAGCCTTCCGAAAAGAAAGGAAGCTGTAATAAAGGCAAAGGGTGGACACTGTAAATACTGAAATATTTGATAGTATATTTAGTTGTTGAGAATTCTGTGCCATTTTCTGTTAAATATGCTAAAATATAAATAACGTTTACTCAAAGGCCATTTTGACTGAAAATGAAATGAACGGAGGACAGTCTCTGACTTCTGCATAGAGCTGTATATATTCTGGAAATGACATTAATTCATTCTGCATGCTAATTTTATTACAACCTCAATTCTCAATGCAGTCATTTTTATAACAAGTCACATCTTCAAAACTCCTTCTACACTAATTTCTTAAATAAATTGTTTATAGCTTTCTACTATTTGAAACCTGTGCACAGTAGTAGCATCACTTTAGAATCATTTTATACATTTATCCGCAATAAAATTGGCTTTATATCACTGGAAACACTGATTCTAAACTTTTGATGTCTGCAATTCTAGCCTCTTTCTCAGAACAATAAGGGCCAAAAGAACAAAATAACAGAAGTATTGCATTTTTATACCTGCTGTATTTACAACATTTGTACCAGTTGTAATTATTTATTTATTTTTTGTGAGTATCACAACTGCAAAAACCCATCTTCTCTCTTCACGGCTAGTATGAATGGAGTGTCCTGATCTACTAGAGAGCCCTCTGTTTCCAACACCTTGCACAGGATGGTCAATTCCCTTTCAGTAAGAGTTTAGTACCTGTTAATGATCTTAACAACACCTGTTGAAAGCACCTGCCCTGTGGGAGCTTATTGACCGCTCAGCTACACTACAAGTGGCCTCAAGCTATATTTTTTTTCCTATAAAATCATAATTGTCCCATACAGCACTATGTGTTAGTGTTAGCAATTAGGAGGTACACAGATGTGTACACCGGCACGCATACTGGAACGTGTCGCCGATGAAAGAAAAACCCTGACAAACTTAATTTCATTCATTTTAATCTCTTAAGCCGAATACGCATGGCTCCTACAGATGCCCCTTTGCTCTCCTTTTAACCCCCCTGCGAGTGGGAGTCCCTTTTGTGTGTCCCTGAAAGAGTTCAGAGCAAGGGTGAAACTACCTTCTTTTGGTATTCTGATGGGGGCCATACAGTATTGTCCCCATGTGGGCAAAACCACTGTCAAGAGCCTTGGCTGTAGGGGTGACCAAATCAAAGGAGAAAAGCACTGAGTGGGAGTGAGTGGGGGTTTTCTGAGGGGGAGGTGCCATGGGTGGAGGATTGGGAGAAAGCTTCTAAAGAAACATTTACAATAAAAGAGGGAGGGACCCTAACTACGGCAGGCAACACATAGCCAAAGTGGTGGGATAGGCTACTGCAGCAACGAAAGGAGATATGCTGACCGCAGTGCTAAGAGTGAAAGGGTTATAGCCTGGCTTTTCCCGATGGAACCATTTTTGAGGTGTCAATCAAAGGCCCTCTGGCATGTTCATTGTGTGAGTTGATATTGTCTTCAGAGCTAGGTCAGCTGAAGGTGTTTAGCTAGCTACAACCTTCATCCTTGCCACCCAACGTGTGAATACAAAGGCGCTGCTTCTGTGGAGCCATATGTTGTCATAGGAACTGCAATACAATGTGGACTTCCTCTACTCCCTTTCACTAGGCTTTCGTTCCACAAACTTCTGCTCTGCTTAAAGTGGAATTCAAATTTTTTTGCATAATTCCACCGTTGTGATGTAAGCAGAGTCAGTCAGAGTGGTTTGATGTAAAATGGTTCGTTGTAGAGAAAGTTGATGATGGTAAAATAGTGGAATATCTCAAAAAAAGAGTTTTCTTCAGGGACTACTTCGCCTCGCTATGCCCTGCATGTGTCCCTCCACCATAAACAGACTAAAACTAATTGACTAACAGGATATTTTAGGCCAAAACTTTATGTCTCAGACATCAGGCAGTGAATTTCATGTGTTAACTTTCTGTGAGGGAGCTTTTAGAGGTGGACGTCTGGTTCCTATCACCACCACTGTGAACAATCCTGACTGGGTAAGTTTCTCTAGAACAGAGCGTTTCACACCAAACCACTCTGAATGACTTTATTTGCGTCTTAACCATTTAATTATTTAGAAAATGTAGAAAAATTGGTGGAGTTGTCCTTTAAGTTTCCACATATTGGAAGGTTACTCAATGCATGGAAAGTAAATGTTCATTGCAATTCCCATCATCTTCTACTGTTTGCCAGTTGTGAATGATGGTGCACGTTTATGGTCAGTGCTGAAAGGGACGTTCTAGCATGACCAAATATGGTCCACGCTTACCTGTGCGACATCCTCTCGACAGTCCAGAGCAACGTTCAGTAGTCAGTGCGCCTCAGTGACCCGGCCGGACCCCACGCTCAGCTAAACTCTCTGATACAGTCCAACGACGCCTTTTCCTAAACTGAACACGCTTAAAACACGTTCGTGTCGTGCCGCGCGTTCACGCTGCACGCTTTACTTCATATCCCCGGTCGCCCGTGAGTAACGCAGCCGCTGCCGCTCCGTCTGCCGCCGCTCTGACTGCGCAGCGGAGCCGCGGCTGGTTTGCTGCGCAGCTGCCATGGGGACCAGATCAGAGTCTCCTCAATGCTCCGGGCAAACAGCCATCGCTTAGCTGCGAGATTAGCGCTGAATGCGCGCGGCTGCTTAGAGACACTGTGAAAAATAACAGGATATATTTTCACAGTTAAAGCGAAAGTGAAAATATTCAGCACTTCTCACTTATTTAATGGAAAACTTGACATGACGGGAAAAGAAGCGGCCGTCTGAGAAAAACAACAGATGTGAACTTTAAACGTGAAAAAAGGCCAAAACTACGAAAACTGTTAGGACTTAGGCTGAGATACTATATAATACATCGGAACAAAACCTTATATCTGCATTTTCGTCGTTATTTATGTACAAGCTGCCCTTTATAAATCTCCAATATACTTATATTTATATATGTCCTATATGGGTCATTCTATAGAAACGTCCATTTTTGTGTACCTAGCGTTTACACGTTAGGGTTACAATTTATTTATATTTTAAAATAATACGATGAGTTATTTTAACAATCACACCTTCTTGAGCATCAATTTCGCAATATTGGTTTTTAAGTAAATTATCTAGAATTCCAAGCACCACAGAAGAGCTCGTCCTCAGTTATGTGTAAAAGCTGAGGCCATATTTTAAGGCAAAAAACACGTTTTGCTGCAATTTTAGCTGCAATAATCTGCACATGAATGTATGGAACATATGATTTAAATAACAAAGAAAACAAATGCCAAATAAATATTATAGAATATATAATGAAAGTTGTCCCCAGGAGTCGTGTCACTGGTGTTACTGCATAACAAAAAATCTCTTATTTTGAAATAAAAGTCATACTGATGACATCACTTGACTTCCTTTTACCTGTTTTCTGAGGATCTATGAAGAAAAGCTCATGGTGAGTCCACTGTGTCTTTCAGTTATCAGAGATTTTCTCATTTAGCTCATGATTTCATATGAAGCGTTTAGCTGAAGTCACTGGTGTGACCGACTTTATTCTGAGGTAATTGTGAAAAAATAGAATACAAATGGATTAAATTGCATATTTTAGTGGATATTCCATGACTGACAACATGTGGTTTGATGCTCTGTAGCAGCCGTTTCATAAAATGCATTTTTCATTAAAAATGTCACTGGTGTTACCTTTTCTGTGACACCTATGGATAGATAGAAAAGTGAACGTTTCTATAGAATGACCCATATATATGTATTATATACATAAGTTTGAACATCAGTATGGTATTTTATGCCAATTGTAGTGCACACTATTTTCAAGAGTTCTTCAGTTATTATGCAATACTTATATAGAATCATGATGGTTCAGGAACCGTTTGAAATGTTAGATAAATGGTTCCTTGCATGTTTAAATGACAGAAGCCCTATAGTATATACACTGCATATGCACAGTAGACACAGTTTACATTTTCACCCTTGTGTGGTGTTAATGTGTGTTACTCTGTGGTCGGGTGGACCCACTGAATTATTGTTTATTTAAATCAATACAGCCATAACAATTTATGTAAAAATACTAGATGTTTAAAAGTGTCCAGCATAGCATTCTCCTTCAGCAGCTGTAGCCAGTCAGCAGCCTGTCCATGTTGTCCACCCTCACTGAAAATGAAATAATAAAAAATCACATCATTTTTCTCTTTTGGTAAACATTGAAAATGGGTCCCACAGACCTGAACACCACACAAGGGTTAATATAGAAAAATGTTACGTGACCAAAACAGAAACATTCATCCTGTAAAATTACAGCAATATTTTAAAATGTGAGTAATACATACCAAAACTATCATTAATGGAGCTGAGAAACACCACATATAAAGATATTTTATTCAACATATTCACAATGTGTAAAGTTGAGTGTGGACTGAGGGGGCCCGTTATTACTATAGGATCAAAGGGGCGCCCCCCTTTAGTCTCAGGTTAACATTAGACTCCTCCACCTGGATAAACTTGGATGACCTGTTTTTGTGCAACAACCTATAAATTACCAAAATTGTTCCCCTTTGTCTGCCAAACTGACTCATAATTTGATTTTATGTCTCATATCTTGTAATTTTATTTAGTCACAAAGGGTTTGAAGTGTGTTTTTCTTTTCTTCTTTAATATTATTTACCCTAAAATCAGAGAACCAGACAGGATAGTCTGTGACACTGTGAGAATAATTTATATTCATGCAGACACATGAAGTTAAATCACTCCTGAATAGAAATACTTGAGAAAAACCAGGATCACATAATATATTATGAAAATAGTGTTCATCAATATCGCTCTTGTCGGAAGAAAACCTATTTTTGTCGTTTTTCAGTTTTGGACCTAATTTGAAAGTGTCTGTTACCCATTACATTGTGTGTGAATTTCATAATGGATGGACTAAAAGAAATGACCTAAAATGACTTGGAAAAAAGTCTGGTTCCATTGACTTACATTAAAAGTAAAGTGTGTTTTTTCCTTCTCCTGTAAAGTTACCATTTTGAATATATGACGTTTACAGCGGTATATAGGTCACCTCATAGTACTGACCCCCCACCACCACCAAGATTTCTGCCACAATTCAAACCCTGAATCAATGCTGTCCGTGTTTGCAATCTCGCTGTGCAGCAATTTGCAAGATTTTTTCAAATTATGCTGAGTGTTTTGCAATTAAGCCTCAGCTATGAGCGGCTGTTTGATCTGTGAGTCAGTCTGAAGTGACAGGTGTGCACTTGAGGTGCTGACTGCAGCTGTGTTGCCTGAAACTCATTTAGAGGTGGACGCTTGGTTGGTCTCAGTCAGCCATGTTCATGGAGCTCTCTGCAGGAACAATGGTTTATTATATGAGCGCTACATGATCCGTCACGCATTGGTGATCTCTACCAGAGAAACCGTTCTCCACCAAAGAAACATGCAGGCAATGACAGACAGGCAATGAGCACCTTACAGCCTGCTGACATGATATTAGTTCTGACCAGGGGTCACCAAGCCTCCTTCTGGAGATCTGCCTACATGCAGGTTTCATCTCCAATTCAGATCTAAACTTAATCTAGCTTATCAAAAACTCCTGTGGATTCGGGTCAGAGCTAAACTCTCTAGGAGCAGAATAGGTGTCTTTGACTGGTTTAGGATAAAACAGTGACCAGCAGCCCCCCGCCTGAGGATCCTTACTGCAGGGCTTTCTTCCAACCTAGCACAGAAGATATTGTTAATTGAGGGCTTCCTAAGGCAGTTACACTAAAGTAAATGCTGATGTTTACATGGGTGAAGTGTAGCAAATCAGGGTTAGAGCTAAACTTTGCAGGATGGTAGATCTCCCAATGCAGGATTGATGACTATTGGCTTAGATTTAGCTCCTTCTGGAGATCTCCCTTCCATCAGAACTTAGTTTGAACTTTAAACTGCTACACTTGATCCATTTAATCAGTACCTAAGAAGACATATGAATTGATATGCAATGTTGACACATAACACAATTCTACTCATGTTGCCTCAAGGCAACAAACTCATTTTCCTCACTTTACTATGACATTATTCATATTTATTGACAATAAAATAAGAGTAATGAAGAGTTTGAATGAATCAATAAAATGCTTTTACTTGATCACCATTTCACAGGCATTTTTAAACTCTTTTGTAATTGTATTGTGCACTGTGTAGATGACACACGTTTCTGTACTGGACCATTTTCCTCAGAAAAGCAAATTTTCATTGTTTTTTATACATCAAAAAATTCACTGCTGGAGAGTGAAGTTCATTTTTTTAACATTCATTGTCATATAAATCTTTTATGAGAAATTGCTTAAATATATATGTTGCCTACAAGCAACATTATGAGGCTGTGGAGTGCTTATAGCCAGTAGCAAATTAAATGTTACTCATGTAGCCAAGTGAGAGAACACTGCAGTCATTGTTTAGTTTTTCATTTCATTGTGTTTGTTTCTTGCTTTTGTTTATATAGGAAATATTCAGAATATTATTTTTTTCCATTGTCACACAATGTTGCCTCAAGTCAACATACTGCAAGAGGATCCCCCCCCCCACCACCACACACACACACACACACACACACACACATTATTCCTTAAAACTTGTTTTTGATTTTAATATAATAATCAGGTCCATTTTATGCATTGAAAGTGAACATTGAAAAAAAATACATGAAATAATGGGCAAAATAATGTATTCCTCTGTGTAACCACAAAAACAGAGTGCGTGATATGGCCATACCTGTGATAGACATTGCTCAACTTTCACTGACATCAGGAATGCAGACCCAGGCCTCCTGAATGGCTTAATAATAGGAAAAGAGTTCTTTCTCCCCAGCAATCTTTCATTTGGACCATATCTGGCTTTTTCATACTGGACCCCTAACAGAAACCAAATGTGCTGTTCACATGTGTTCGCTGGACTGCTGTTTCAGCTACTTCCTTAGCCAAATGTTTCCAGCCTTGAGCTCTTCAATAATGGAGAGCAATTACAGCGCATTGTTACTTTGCACCTATTTAATAGCTAATGGTCTGATATTGTATTTTATAATTGGTGGGAACTATTAGCCTGGAAATTCCCTCTAGCAGGTCCTGGTTTCTGGTCTCACATGGACGTTTCCCCTGTCCGGCAGCAGTTTGGTTCTAATACACAGGAAATGTGTTTGTATTGTTTGGTCAGGTGCTGCTAATGCCTTATGCTTGTTTACGCACTCAAGGCATACTGAGCCACCTCCTTCCGCATTATACTTTCAGCTGAAGAAGAATACTGGCAAAAGCTGAATGGACGTGGATATCCATCCTGACCACTGAATGAAAACAGGCAAGGCCCACCATGTTTGTGCTTGACTCACAATAATGCAGTGGATCTGTTTCACCTGTTATTGGGTGAGAACCAAGTGGGATTATGAATCTTCTATACAGTTTAATTCATTATTTTGTTTTGCATCATTAACCATGGTTGGTCGGTAAGAGGAAAGAGATTGAAATCTCTTTGCTCAAATAAAGCAATAAGAATGGCTTGTTACTGACATTTTTCTCACCCTCTATATTCTCTTGGATTTACATCAAATCTGTTCACTCTCCTCGACAATACATCTAATCAAGATTGTATAGATTTCATAGTTGTATATAATTTGAAGGCCCACTCTCCCATGCCTGCCACACAATAGACGGTGGCCCCGAGCCAGCATTTACAACCCTAAATAGACTAGTGGCCAGCTGAAGCCTTGAGCAACAGGTGAATCCTCCTGTGCCTATATTAAGCCTCCTTTCTGGAAGCCTTTGAGTTGGTGCCAAGAGGATATATGGAGAATGAAACTCGGAACAGGAAAAACAACAAAATATTCACCTGTCACTACTCACAACAAACCTACTGGAGAAAATCTTTTCAGGATTAATGGGGATCTTAGGGAGTCTAGGGTGATTAAATGAGTCAACTAATCCAGTTAGAAGAGAACTAAACTGTTAAAGGGATGGATTACAAACATTAAAAATTTAAGGAATGCAGGCCAAGCAAATCTGAAAACTGACCATTCATCTATTCGTCCATTCATCTACCCAAGAACCTCAATCTTGCCTCTGAAATTTGAACCGTGAAACGTTGTGGTTTGGAGGAATAGTAGGTCTGGCATCCAAGAACGCATGACTGCAGCCTCTAAAAATATAAGCTTGTGGTTTGAGGGGAATAGTAAGCCTACCATCCATCAGTTGGTCCATTTCATCTGTACATACACCACTGCAGCCTTTAAAAGTGAGAAGTGGAACTGTTTTGTGGCTTTCTTTGCATGCAGAACCTTAAGGAACAGCTTTGGGTGACGATTGGAGCCTTTAATAAGGAGTAAAAAAAAGTTTGGTGGCTCCGTCTGGTTCGAGAACACCAAAGAAGAGCTTTGAGAAGCCGTCTCTAAATGAGGGTTAAAAAGTATGCTCCAAGTAGTTTGGGGATGGTTTGTGAAACCATATGCGCTGACCCTTTGGACAGATTATTGCAAATGATAAAGCACCAGTTAAACAGTTTGAACACACCTGAAAGAATGTATGCTGTCTATAAGATTAAGACATTCTTATATAGGGGTTTAGTCAAACTCCAGCCAAAATGAAAACTGTAACCATATTACATCTGTTGTCAACATGCCTACTTTCCTCTTCCATGGGTGCCATAGTAGTTTCTAAGGAAGATTTCCTGGTTTAGAGACTTGGCAACCCCCTGCTGATGATGTATCTTGAAGGTGGAAGTAAATTTTGTGCTTTGAGGTGGATTCTGGGGGTCATACAGTGTTTATTTATTTATTTATTCATTGTTTTGCTGTTGTATGTTGTGTTATATTTTGATTTGCTGTCTAATTCATAATAATAACAAAGAACAAGATTTGGTTAGTGATATATCACTAATGCTATCTAGCACCATTAATGTACAGGCTTATGCAGTTTGAATACCTCTGATCAAATAACATGTTTTGTCAATTAAGCAAAAAGGTTAACATAGGCTTTACAGGGAACATTTTTCAGCAAATTTAGATGCATAAATTCTATTTATTTTCTTAGTTTAATGTGTTAACATGTACAGGCACATTTTCATTTTTTCCTACAATGTTAAATTCAGCAAACAAACAGCAGTTGTGCGATAAAATTTGCAGTTGTGCGTTCTCTGTAGAGGATCTGTACTTATTTTCGCTTAGAAAATTAACAAAATAGAGGAAAATTAACTAGACCAGGATCACGGGCTTCCAAACATTTGCATAGGACTGTATTTATTAGTCGTTAGATCAGTGGCTAGCAGTCAGGATTTGATGAGCACTGATCTCCATTGGTGCATGCATTTGGGCACGCTGGGTAATGTATTTGATGGGCAAAAACACAAAAACAAAACAAAACTGTGAATTCTGTCCAGACAATGGTAGAGGGGTACAGTGCTCCACTATAGAACACTACATTAACATGACAAATCAGATAATAAATGCTGGTTTTAGATCCAAATGACCCTTTAAATGCTTTTAATTTGTTTCGAATGAAATGAATAAGGCAAATATAATGAATTAAGTTTATGACTACGTATAAATGTATTTAAATAAGTAAAATAAAACACATTTTTGTGGCAATGGCTTTTCAACAAGTAGGTTTCAGCAGCCAACAAGTGCTCAGCACATGTCTTCATGACTGGAAAGGCACCCCAGGTGGCTCCTCAAGAAGCCGTTTGAGAGAATGCCAGAAGTGTGCAAAACTGTCAACAAGGCAAAAGCTGGCTACTTTGAAGAATCTACAGAGAGGATATAATATGGTTTTGATTTGTTCACCACTTTTTTAAGATAAGACTTTATTAAAGCCCAAAGGGAAATTAGAGTGTTCCAGCAGCAGCAGCAGCAGCATACAAGACAAACATAGAGTAAACATACAGTAAAAATAATAAAATAGGATGAGAAAATGTATTACGTGAAATACAATGCATAAGTTGGTGTGTACCTTAAAAAAACCGTATATCTTGTATCTCCAAAAGGGTAACTTTACAGGAGAAGGAAGAAACATACTTTACTTTTAATGTAAGTCAATGGAACCAGACTTTTTTCCAAGTCATTTTGGGCCATTTCTTTTGGTTCATTCATCATGAACTTTACACACAATGTAAAGGATAAACGGCATTTTCGAATTATGTCAAAAACTGAAAAATGACAAAAATGGAGATACGAGGTTGTATATACATATACATACATACATACATACATACATACATATATATATATATATATATATATATATATATACATGAAGTTGTGTGTGAAAGATTCTATTAAATCTATTGCTAACTCTAATCCTAACCTCAAAATAAAACCTACACATACTCCTAGACCTAATCCCTAACCCTAATGTTGTTGATGATTAAGTGACTATCACCAGAAAGTTTATTAATAACATAAGTATCTGTAGATCATCCATAGGTGACCATCCACATAAAGTGTGAGCCATACAACTATAGCCCTCACACTCACATACATAAAGTATTGGAGTTACTGTTACAGTGCTATAATAACAGTAATCCTCAGATGAGGCTTTCGGCCACTGACCAGCTCCTCATGCGTTATTTCACTGTTTCGTAGATTCCACTGCTGTCCTGAACGCTTAACAACAGAAAAGCACCGAAATCCCCTCCACTCGGAGGTGTGTCCAGTCTTTGGACGCGTATTGCACGTTCGAAAACTTCTCTGCCTCTTTGTTCACGCGAGGGGGGGGAGGAAACGTGTCGCGCGCCCGCCCGCCTGCCTCATCGGCCTCGAGAGGCGCTGTCCCGCGCCTATATGAGCGCGCGCACGGCGGAGCGGAGAGTCAGTATCGAGCTGAACTCCAGCCGCTCTGTCACTCTGTGCTCCTCTTTACTGGAGAAACTCCCCGAGACGCCCCATCACCACCGACACCACCCTGAACCGGAGACGCCGAGAGAAACGTAAGGATCTGGATTTGTTTTCTCGGTTTTGTTTAGTCTCGGTTTAAAGAAACTCGCTAACTTTCTAATTAAAGTAACGTTGCGCGTTTGAAGCAGGACAGCAGGTCAGTTGTATCACCGCTTGGCCGGTGGATTCGTCGCAGTTTGCGCCTTTTTGGTGCTGAGCTGACTCGGTTGTAGTGATTTTTAGCACTCCAGCACTTTCGGTGGTAACTGATGGTACTGAGTGAAGACAGGCGCCCATCCCACTTACCGACCTGACTGACACTGCATAGGAGATGAGTTTCGGGTTAAAGTCCTGATGGTCTTGTATGTGCGCGGCAGGTAGAGCTTATGAGGGATTTTGAGTTTCTCAGTGGGAGTTTACTGACATAGGGGTGTGTATAATTGTTCACAGAGCAGCTTTGAAGATCTTCTTATAATTTAATATATGTATTTTGTGACTTCAGTAGTTAAAGCTTGGGCTCTTTGCTGTTTCCTGACCTATAAATTTAGATTTCTCCTGAATATCACGGTTTATGAAACTGATGAACTGTCTAATGTGGACACTGTGCAATAAAGGATTAATAACAATGTAATATAGGCTTCATATCTGTCTTAATGATTGGGCAATGTAGATATTTTCTCTACTTTAGCTATTTTCTCTCACTGTTCTTGTTTTATGTTGTAGTTTGGCTTCATCACCTTTTTACCATTTTAGACCAATTTTAACAACAATCATAATAAAATTTAGGCCTAATGTTTATCATATTTGTGAGTCAGTATAGATATAGTCCTTATTATTTTACCCCTTTCTCTTTTTGTTTTTATGTTCTTCATCACTTTTTCCCATTTTAATATCTGTTTTAATGGCCTAATGTTAGCCTTAATTATGCCTAATATGGACATATTCTCTACATTTCCACTTTTTTTTGCATTTCTGCATTTGTGCTGCTTGCTGGTCAGAACTGGCTGCTTAACGGCCACTTTTATTTACTGTGTTAAACTTTTATTGGTTACTTTAGGCTCCTGACTGACCGTTCTATCTTATCCTGAGCCATTGCCTGTAATTCTTTTGAAAGGAAACAATGCTGAGTTTCAGGGGATTTAAGGAGAGCTGGAGAGAGAAAGGGACAGAGCGAGCGAGAGAGAAGCAGATAGAGAGAGAGAGAGAGAGAGAGAGTGAGGGGTGGGGTGATGCGGGGGGGAGGTGGCTGCGGTGAGAGTGGCTGCGTCCACACAGGGAGCTCTTTGTGCCGGCCAGTGCGTTTGCAGCCCGGGGCCGCAGGATCAGGTAAGGGGGGGGTTCAGGGGACGCCGCAATATTTGAAAAGTGTAAACACAGTGGCTTCACAACAAGGTGGGTGGGGGGTGTTCTCAGAGACCACCATGTTTTATTGCACCTGATGGGCCAGGTTAGAGCTTTGCATTGCCCCTCTGCTAACGTGAGCTTGAGAGAAAAGCTGTAAAAAGCAACTTGCCTTTGTTTCGGAGGGACCGGAGTGGTCTCTTCATCTTGCAGTGAGTGAGGATCAGAGAGTACATTAAGAACAGCTGGGTCTCCTCTCACGTTTCCCTTAAAGGGCATTAAGGTCAGGCGCAAACACTGTTTCGAGGCTGATTTGGAAGGAAAATAAACAGGCTTAAACAGGTTATATCACCCGATGGCTCTTAATGCAAAACGGGGACGGGCTTTTGAAAGCTGATACTTTGTTTTAAATTCCTGAAATTGCATTTGTCGTGTGCCATACTCTGTATTCAGGACATGTGATTTGCTTTAAATGTCTTAATAGAGGTCATGTTTTGTGCAACTATGCTTTCATCACTTAAAAAACATCCTCGTGTGCTGGCTTTTCTTTGTGCCCTGCACGCTTCACTCTAAGCAGAGATGTTTTATGATCAGGGAAATGTGCGTGTGAATGAAATTCTTCAAGACGCTGCATGAATGAATCATGGTTTCCTTCTGTTCTTTGCTAGTTCAAAGCACTGGACACATACGTCTATAATAGATCTTTTCACCCTTTGTTGTTGGAGAAGGTGCAGCAGCCCTCACCCTGTTCTCCTTACCTCACCCGATCTCAGCCTCAGCTCGCTCATGGTTTAGAAGCAGTGCTCTCTGCTTTCTGTCACCGCGCTGCCTGTTACCTGTACAGAATAACACAGACCACTTTCATGGTTCCCATTTGTCATGAATGTCTGATGAGATTTTCACCTTTTCAGTGCAGTTCTGCTGCTTGTCTTTTAGACAGCCACAGAACTCTCAGACAGACTGATAATCCAGTTATCAGCTACTGTATGCATAATTTCTCATCCTATAGTCTGTGTTTTTATAGACCTATGGTGTTGTTTATCAGTTTTCCATAATGGTCTGAGAGCGATAGCACTGTGTAGAGATAGAATACCCTGATAACTCTCTTAGAGAAGAGGTTTCTCCAGCGTCATGCTCTCAGCATGCATGCTTTCTGTCAGGCACGCTGTGCTCACTGATTACTCTCAGATGCATTAGGCTGTGAGTCTCAGCCCCTGATAATTCTCTTTGATCCTTTGGCAGCCATTGTCCAAACTGGCTATTCTATTGATAGATTAAGAGCAACAACCCAGCAAGCCTGGGAAATGGCTCGCTGTAACAGACAAGGCGGAAAAAAATTCCACCCAAACCGCATGAGGTCCTGCCCTCTGACACCGGAACCCCTGGCGAGTTTGAGATGTTTCAGATTATGCATGTTGTTTTTGAAAATAAACATTCTATGCTACACATTTTTCTGTCCTCCCAGCGCTTAATTGAACCCTGCCTGCCTTTCCAAACTCACCAGTTGATGTCTTATGTTGCAGGTCGCCGTGTTGTTCCGAGAGTTCCAGTGCGGAGCGTGAACCAACATGGCCGTGAACATGAACGATCTGACTGAGCTGCTGGACATGCTGGAGCAGAACTTCTCCTTCCTGGATGACAACGGCTCACACGTGGAGGCGGTGGTGTGTCCAACTGCCTTCAGCCAGCGGGCCCTGCTCTATGCCCTCTCTGTCCTCTATATCTTCATCTTCCTCATCGGCCTGGCCGCCAACGCCCTGGTGGTGTGGGTGAACGTGCGGGCCGGTAGGCAGGAACGCCACGAGACACACCTGTACATTCTTAACCTGGCCATTGCCGACCTGTGCGTAGTGGCCACTCTTCCAGTGTCCGTGAGCTCTCTGCTCCAGCATGGCCACTGGCCCTTTGGTGATGCCATGTGCAAGATCACACACCTGGTCTTCAGCGTCAACCTCTTCAGCAGCATCTTCTTCCTGACCTGCATGAGCGTAGACCGCTACCTGTCTGTGGTCCACTTCGGCAACACCCCCAGCCAGGGTAAGAGAAGATGGATCCGACAGCTGATCTGTGTAGGTGTCTGGCTTCTGGCGCTGCTGGCCGCCATTCCTGACACCTACTTCCTCCAAGCCGTCAAATCCTCACATTCCGAGAGTATCGTGTGCAGGTCCGTATACCCGGCCGAGAGCATGCGAGAGTGGATGGTGGGCGTCCAGATGAGCTTCATCATCCTGGGCTTTGCCGTCCCCTTCCCCGTCATCGCCATCTTCTACGCCCTCCTAGCGAAGGCCGTCCAATCGTCAGCCGACCAGGAGTGGCGCCTAGGCCGGCGCCTGATCTTCACCTACATTGTAGTCTTCCTGGTCTGCTGGCTGCCCTACCATGGCACTTTGCTGATGGACACGCTGGCCCTGCTCAATGTGCTGCCGCTCACCTGCGCACTGGAGAACGTCATGTACGTGGCGATGCACCTGACACAGTGCCTTTCCCTGCTCCACTGCTGCCTCAACCCTGTCATCTACAACTTTGTCAACAAGAACTACCGCTATGACCTCATGAAGGCCTTCATTTTCAAGTACTCCACCAAAACAGGTCTGGCCAGGCTGATTGATGCCTCACATGTGTCTGAGACGGAGTACTCTGCCGTGGAGAATCAGGGACCTCTGTGAGGAGGAGATAGTTGAAGGGCTTTGCTATAATTTCTATTGACCTCCTGTATAGGGTCCCATATTAAGAGACATAAATCTCTGAAGCTGTATTCCCTTAAACAGCAAGGACTGTGTGCGTTTTAAGGAACTCTTGAACTTTGTATTGATAGAGTATGTGTACTTTACATCTCTGCAAACCGAAGAATTGTATATCCTTTCTTGTAAATGAGAATTATTTTTAGGGATGTATGACGAAAGCACTTGTACTGAGTGGAACAGTAGTTGGCTCAGCCTCGCTGTTGGTTGACCAAGCATATGAGGTCAGCAGGGTCAGTCTAGGTCCCCTCCCCCCAGAGGAGCCTAAGAGGGAACTCATAAAGCCTCGGGGCCCTTTTTCAACCCCGTCTCCGTTTATCCATACTGCTCTGCAGCCGGCTGGTCAGACTCCGCCACCTTTAGACTGAAGGTTGCGGCCTCACACACGTTGGACCATGACCGAGTTAATTGGAGGGAAGTTAAAGAGCCAAAGCACGGTCAGTGGAGAGGGACAAGTCTCATTAAAAGATATTATCAAAGGATGAAGTTGGAAAGCCAGATGTAGAGAGATATAGTTTTTTAGGACAATGTATGTTTTGTAAATACTAAGACATATTTATATATTCATCCGTATGTATTGTCAGTGTTTTGAAGTATTTGAAGTTCAAATGTACTTTTGAAATAAAAAAAGATATTTGTACAAATGTAATCAGCAGTGTGGTTGTCTTGTGAGTCAAATGTGGCCATATCAGTTGGATCACATTGAATTATGGTTACCAACAAGAAGTTTGTAAGAAGCTGGCCCACTACAGTGCAAAAAATGAAAGGCAGCTCAACATAGAAGCACACGTCAACTTATTACATAATTTTTTAGTTAACTCAACTGGAGAGCACAAGACTTTACCCAGCTTAAACCTCTCAGTTTAGTCAAAACACCATATCTCCAAAATGGTAACTTTACAGGAGAAAGGAAAAACATACTTTACTTTTAATGTAAATCAGTGGAACCAGACATTTTTCCAGGTAATTCTGGGCCATTTCTCTTGGTCCATTCATCATGAAATTTACACACAATGTAAAGGAAAAACGATAAAAATTGAGATACAAGGCTTTGTTTTGACAGCAGCAACATACAGTTGTATGCAAAAGTTTGGGCTCAATTTTTTGTTGTTTTTTTAAGTGAAGAGAAGATAACACATCCTCAACAGGCAACAAACTTACATATGACATTTTTCTGCACATTTTAGCTGACAATTTTAGTTTATTTGCTGAGTTTAACATCTTCGAAAAGTAACACATAAAATATAAAATGTGCCAAACATTTGCAGAGGCCACATTTTATGTTTTCCTTTGTTTCCAATATGTTATATTACAGCAAAAATCAGTACTTATTTTACTTATTTTATATCAATTTTCCCACAAACTGGGACTCTTTGCTCTTGGGTTGTGGCTCTTGGGCTATCCTTGGGTCCTTAGGTTACAGATGTCTGTGGCATTGCTAGGGTTTTTAACTCATCTCCTGATAATTAAGCTCAATTTTAATTTTGTACAGTACACATCATAGAAGTACACAGAGAAAAATGCTGCACAAGTGTAGATTTGCTAAAAGAATGGGTGTGAAGTACACCCCCCCCCGCCCCCCGCCCCGCCTCCCCTTCACATTCACAGACTTAGCTTTGGATCTAAGGACCAACAGATGACATTAAACCATATCCTTAAGAAATTTATATAGCACTTTCGTGCATTTGTTTTAAGCGTAGCTTCATATAATTACGCTGGCGGTTAACCACGTTCAGTATATTGGCTTTACTTTGTGCTCTCTGTCATGACTTTGTGAAAAAGTATAACATAAACACAGATTTCATCCATGCCAGTGACTTACAGTAAATGTGTTTAGTACTTAGAAGTCCATTCCAGTTTTTCAGTGTAAAATCCATCCATATGGCTGCCCTCGAGGAGAGCACACTCATCTACTGATCCAGTGGGGGGATAATTCATGTGCGTGCATGTGTGTGTGTGCGTGCGTTTTCTTTTCTCCTGAGGAGATTTGCTCTTTGTGTATTCGCCTTCGGTGGCAGAGGGAAGGAGGGGTGCTTGGTTAATCAGTACCAGGGGTACTCTCTCTCTCTCTCTCTCTCTCTCTGTCTCTCTTTCTCTGTCTTTCTTTTTGCTTTGTAGTTCTGAAAAGGATCCAGGTGTTCCGGAGTCAGCGCCAAGTTTCAAAGAGACCCTCTAGCTCCCTCTCTATCGCTGCGTCTCCGAGCGCAGAGCAAATTACACTGTCTGTTCAAGGGCGTGTTACCGTCACCTCCCAAGTGGAAACTCCCCTGAACAAGAGCCTGTACATCCAAGGGTCTAATTTTATCCATAAACGTATAATAAGATGCACTGTCACATTGTTTGTGGCTCTACAAGGCTGGCTGGCAATCCCCTTTTGGTTAAACCTAAAACTGGAATGAAGAACACAGCCTGCTTAGTGCGCTTATTAATTACCGACAATGATTTGGGCCGCTATGTGCTGGAGGTACACAGAGAGAAATCCTGTACGACTGTGGGTTTGCTGAAAGACAAGCTGTGAAACAAACCCTCTACAAGAAGAGCTGGTACATCCAAGGGCCTAAACATATAATAAGATGCACCGCCACATTGCTTTGCCTATTATATGGTCTTACAAAACTGGCTGGTAATCCCCTTTTGGTAAATCTAAACCTGAAATGGAGAACGCACACCAAAGCCTGCTTACGGCCCTGGATTAAACCTGTAAAACCTGCACTGAAACCTGCTACAACAGAATGCCTTAATTAAACAGACTGAACAGGCCTTTTGTTTAAGCGGCTAATTAGAGACGCTAATTCCATCAGCACCAACTGAATCTGTTTTTGCCTCCAGGTTATAGTACGCTGCAGAATGCTTAGTAGATAGTGTATTCAACTGTCAAATATCATTCCAGTCTGGGCTGTTTTCTGCTATAACCGATATAAGAAGTGGCTTAGCTCTCCTTAGCGCCCCAAGTATGTACAGTACTGTGCAAATCTCAGAGAGCACCCTTTGTTTGTTCAGTTAAAATGGCCATTAAGTACAAGTCAGTAGATATTTCTGTGGAGATTAGATATGAGATCATCCACAACAGCAGTTTCCCAAAAAACGATTGAGGCATACAGAGGAAATGGGACTCGCAAGACCAGGCAGACCACCAAAACTGTCCCCATCAGATAAACAGCACTGAAAGCTTTCAGCTTAAAGAAAGAGGAGAAAATCAAGCTGCTTCAGACCTGAAAACACCCACAGGTGTTTCTGTCCATCCTTCCACTGTGAGAAGACGACTCAGCGCTGTGGGTCTGAAAGGATGTGTAGCGGTCAAAACTGTACAGAGAAAAGGAGACAGAGAAAGAAGAAAATTTGCACTAGAACACCGAAACTGGACATGTGAAATGCTACCAACTTCTAAGACTGAACTTGTGTGGAGGTGTGGAAAAAATATCCCTGTGACAACCTGAAAGCAAGTGTCCAGAAATGAATGGACGCCGTAATAAAAACAAAGGTACTAAATACAGAAAATCTGATATTAGTTGATTGATATTATTAATTATTATTAGTTGTTGAGGCTTTTGTGTGATTTTTGTTAAATATATGTTTTGTGTTTTTTTTCCTGAAGCTGAAAAATAAAGAATGTAATGACTGTATTGACAGGAAATGAAATAAATGAGGTGTGGTCTGGTATGCACATCCATCCATCCATCCATCATCTAAACCGCTTATCCTTCTGGGTCGCGGTGGGGTGCTGGAGCCTATCCCAGCTGTCATTGGGCGGAAGGCAGGATACACCCTGGACAGGTCGCCAGTCCATTGCAGGGCACTGGTATGCACAGTACTGCATTATTATTATTATTATCATTATTATTATTATTATTATTATTATTATTATTAGTAGTAGTAGTAGTAGTAGTAGTAGTAGTAGTACTAGTAGTAGTAGTATTATATAAGTATGTTATGAATTAATTAATTAATGTATTAATTTATTTAGAATCCCACTTTTTTTTACAGTAAATTACTGTTTTATTGTGGTTCCCTCAGCATTTATAACACTTTTTCCTGATGAAAATCAGGATTTAATTGCTTTTTATTCTTGAGAGCCCCCCCCCCTTCAGTAGGATGCCCCCCAAAAGTTAGGAAAATGGTCTTAATTCCAATCACACATATCAGGAAATCAACTGACAAACAGCAGAACAGATTCCCGGGTCTTTTCCTGTAGGCTGAAATGACAGACAATAGGATCCCTCTACTTTTTTTTACAACCCCTGCAAACACAATGGTGACTGAGGCATCCCGGTGGTAAACTCACCATCTACGATGGCTCTGAAAGGCCGGATCGTGGGAGCGGCACGGCAGAGTGTGTGAAAGGCTGTGGGTGCCGTTGGGGTGAGGCAGAGAGAAAGGACAACCTTTCACCATGTCTCTGTTTGGCTTGGGCGACAAAAAGGAAAAGACTTGGGACCGTGGGTGCACTGGCAGCTTTTGGTTGGAAAATACCATCACATGAAAGACGCTGGACATTCAACTCTCAGGCTGAAACTGATCCTTCTGTTTTGTTTTGCTCCATGTTCAGCGAGGTGGAGTCATAGGTGACTTGTACAGAAGCCAGACAGCCCTTATGTCTCTGAGTGCCAGAAAATACGTGTATGTATCAATATAGTGATTTATCACCTCGGTCACACCCTCATCTCTTGACCGCTGGCCTGGGTTCACCAAGGAGACGCTAAAGAAAACAGAGAGAGGCAAGACACTGCAAAGACAAACAGGAGTACTTTGTTAAAATCCCTTCTGAATAGGTTGTGTATTGCTACTGCAAAGAGGACTCATGTTGTTACCACATCACTTCTGACAGCTAGAGACTGTTTATATACTGTATTACATATTAAAGGGGGATTAAATTTGCCAGAATCTCTACGTAATTCAGTGTTTGAGATGTAAACAAAGGCATTTGGAGTGGTTTAGTTTGAAATGGTTCTTCGTACAGGATCTTACCAGCTCAGATTTCTTTACCATGGTGGTGATAGGAACCAGGGGTCATGATGTCTGCAACACAAATATGTGTATTTAATTTCTAAACCAAATGATGAGTGAACATGCACGTCTTCTCAGTTTTTATATGTAAAGTTCTTAAAGGTAAAATAGTGGTAAATCTGAAAAAAAAAGTTTTCTTTAGTCTCCATTTGGCCTTACAGCTCCCTTCATGTACCTCCTTGTCATGAATGGATTTGAACATATGTTTTAGGCCACAACTTTGTCTTAAAACTATCATAAAACAGTGTCTCAGGCATCAGGCTGCGTATTCATAACCACATCATGTAATAACTTTCTATATAGCGTTTAGAAGCATAAAAACTTCAGACATCTGGTTCCTATCACCACCACTGTGAACAATTCTGACTCGGTAAGCTTCTCTAGGATGGAGCATTAAACATCAAACCACTCTGAACGACTTTGTTTACATCTCAACCATTAAATTATGCAGAAATATGTATGGGCTTTAGGCTGTCCTTTTGAGGGAAAACACTATGTCTATAACTGCACACTTCTGCTACAAACAGTATAACAAAATGGTACTTCATAAAGATTAATGTGCCCAGAAATACGCTATTCATGTGAAAAATAGCCAAGCTCTGTTCTACAACCGGTCCAGATTCCAAATCTGTTAACGCTTTTCAA